AGTAGTGTATAGTGTAGTAGTAGTGTATAGTGTGGTAGTAGTGTATAGTGTGGTAGTAGTGTATAGTGTGGTAGTAGTGTATAGTGTGGTAGTAGTGTATAGTGTGGTAGTAGTGTAGTGTGGTAGTAGTGTATAGTGTGGTAGTAGTGTATAGTGTAGTAGTAGTGTATAGTGTGGTAATAGTGTATAGTGTGTTAGTAGTGTATAGTGTGGTAGTAGTGTATAGTGTAGTAGTAGTGTATAATGTGGTAGTAGCGTATAGTGTGGTAGTAGTGTATAGTGTGGTAGTAGTGTATAGTGTAGTAGTAGTGTATAGTGTGCTAGTAGTGTATAGTGTGGTAGTAGCGTATAGTGTGGTAGTAGTGTATAGTGTGGTAGTAGTGTATAGTGTGGTAGTAGTGTATAGTGTAGTAATCGTGTATAGTGTGGTAGTAGTGTATAGTGTGGTAGTAGTGTATAGTGTGGTAGTAGTGTATAGTGTAGTAGTAGTGTATAGTGTGGTAGTAGTGTATAGTGTGTTAGTAGTGTATAGTGTGGTAGTAGTGTATAGTGTGGTAGTAGTGTATAGTGTGGTAGTAGTGTAGTGTGGTAGCAGTGTATAGTGTGGTAGCAGTGTATAGTGTAGTAGTAGTGTATAGTGTGGTAGTAGTGTATAGTGTGTTAGTAGTGTATAGTGTGGTAGTAGTGTATAGTGTAGTAGTAGTGTATAGTGTAGTAGTAGTGTATAGTGTGGTAGTAGTGTATAGTGTGGTAGTAGTAGTGTATAGTGTAGTAGTAGTGTATAGTGTAGTAGTGTATAGTGTGGTAGTAGTGTATAGTGTGGTAGTAGTGTAGTGTGGTAGTAGTGTATAGTGTGGTAGCAGTGTATAGTGTAGTAGTAGTGTATAGTGTGGTAGTAGTGTATAGTGTGTTAGTAGTGTATAGTGTGGTAGTAGTGTATAGTGTAGTAGTAGTGTATAGTGTAGTAGTAGTGTATAGTGTGGTAGTAGTGTATAGTGTGGTAGTAGTAGTGTATAGTGTAGTAGTAGTGTATAGTGTAGTAGTGTATAGTGTGGTAGTAGTGTATAGTGTGGTAGTAGTGTATAGTGTAGTAGTAGTGTATAGTGTAGTAGTAGTGTATAGTGTAGTAGTGTATAGTGTAGTAGTAGTGTATAGTATGGTAGTAGTGTATAGTGTGGTAGTAGTGTATAGTGTAGTAGTAGTGTATAGTGTAGTAGTAGTGTATAGTGTAGTAGTGTATAGTGTGGTAGTAGTGTATAGTGTAGTAGAAGTGTATAGTGTAGTAGTAGTAGTGTATAGTGTAGTAGTAGTGTATAGTGTAGTAGTGTATAGTGTGGTAGTAGTGTATAGTGTGGTAGTAGTGTATAGTGTGGTAGTAGTGTATAGTGTGTTAGTAGTGTATAGTGTGGTAGTAGTGTATAGTGTGGTAGTAGTGTATAGTGTAGTAGTGTATAGTGTAGTAGTAGTGTATAGTGTGGTAGTAGTGTATAGTGTGGTAGTAGTGTATAGTGTGGTAGTAGTGTATAGTGTGGTAGTAGTGTATAGTGTAGTAGTAGTGTATAGTGTAGTAGTAGTGTATAGTGTGGTAGTAGTGTATAGTGTGGTAGTAGTGTATAGTGTAGTAGTGTATAGTGTGGTAGTAGTGTATAGTGTGGTAGTAGTGTAGTGTAGGTAGTAGTGTATAGTGTGGTAGTAGTGTATAGTGTAGTAGTAGTGTATAGTGTGGTAATAGTGTATAGTGTGTTAGTAGTGTATAGTGTGTAGTAGTGTATAGTGTAGTAGTAGTGTATAATGTGGTAGTAGCGTATAGTGTGGTAGTAGTGTATAGTGTGGTAGTAGTGTATAGTGTAGTAGTAGTGTATAGTGTGCTAGTAGTGTATAGTGTGGTAGTAGCGTATAGTGTGGTAGTAGTGTATAGTGTGGTAGTAGTGTATAGTGTGGTAGTAGTGTATAGTGTAGTAATCGTGTATAGTGTGGTAGTAGTGTATAGTGTGGTAGTAGTGTATAGTGTGGTAGTAGTGTATAGTGTAGTAGTAGTGTATAGTGTGGTAGTAGTGTATAGTGTGGTAGTAGTGTATAGTGTGGTAGTAGTGTATAGTGTGGTAGTAGTGTATAGTGTGGTAGTAGTGTAGTGTGGTAGCAGTGTATAGTGTGGTAGCAGTGTATAGTGTAGTAGTAGTGTATAGTGTGGTAGTAGTGTATAGTGTGTTAGTAGTGTATAGTGTGGTAGTAGTGTATAGTGTAGTAGTAGTGTATAGTGTAGTAGTAGTGTATAGTGTAGTAGTAGTGTATAGTGTAGTAGTGTATAGTGTAGTAGTAGTGTATAGTATGGTAGTAGTGTATAGTGTGGTAGTAGTGTATAGTGTAGTAGTAGTGTATAGTGTAGTAGTAGTGTATAGTGTAGTAGTGTATAGTGTGGTAGTAGTGTATAGTGTAGTAGAAGTGTATAGTGTAGTAGTGTATAGTGTAGTAGTAGTGTATAGTGTAGTAGTGTATAGTGTGGTAGTAGTGTATAGTGTAGTAGTAGTGTATAGTGTGGTAGTAGTGTATAGTGTAGTAGTAGTGTATAGTGTGGTAGTAGTGTATAGTGTGTTAGTAGTGTATAGTGTGGTAGTAGTGTATAGTGTAGTAGTAGTGTATAGTGTAGTAGTGTATAGTGTAGTAGTAGTGTATAGTGTGGTAGTAGTGTATAGTGTGGTAGTAGTGTATAGTGTGGTAGTAGTGTATAGTGTAGTAGTAGTGTATAGTGTAGTAGTAGTGTATAGTGTGGTAGTAGTGTATAGTGTGGTAGTAGTGTATAGTGTGGTAGTAGTGTATGTGTGGTAGTAGTGTATAGTGTGGTAGTAGTGTAGTGTGGTAGTAGTGTATAGTGTGGTAGTAGTGTATAGTGTAGTAGTAGTGTATAGTGTGGTAGTAGTGTATAGTGTGTTAGTAGTGTATAGTGTGGTAGTAGTGTATAGTGTAGTAGTAGTGTATAGTGTAGTAGTAGTGTATAGTGTGGTAGTAGTGTATAGTGTGGTAGTAGTGTATAGTGTGGTAGTAGTGTATAGTGTGGTAGTAGTGTATAGTGTGTTAGTAGTGTATAGTGTGGTAGTAGTGTATAGTGTAGTAGTGTATAGTGTTGTAGTAGTGTATAGTGTGGTAGTAGTGTATAGTGTAGTAGTAGTAGTGTATAGTGTAGTAGTAGTGTATAGTGTAGTAGTAGTAGTGTATAGTGTAGTAGTAGTAGTGTATAGTGTAGTAGTAGTAGTGTATAGTGTGGTAGTAGTGTATAGTGTAGTAGTGTATAGTGTGGTAGTAGTGTATAGTGTAGTAGTAGTGTATAGTGTAGTAGTAGTGTATAGTGTAGTAGTGTATAGTGTAGTAGTAGTGTATAGTATGGTAGTAGTGTATAGTGTGGTAGTAGTGTATAGTGTAGTAGTAGTGTATAGTGTAGTAGTAGTGTATAGTGTAGTAGTGTATAGTGTGGTAGTAGTGTATAGTGTAGTAGAAGTGTATAGTGTAGTAGTAGTAGTGTATAGTGTAGTAGTAGTGTATAGTGTAGTAGTGTATAGTGTGGTAGTAGTGTATAGTGTAGTAGTAGTGTATAGTGTGGTAGTAGTGTATAGTGTAGTAGTAGTGTATAGTGTGGTAGTAGTGTATAGTGTGTTAGTAGTGTATAGTGTGGTAGTAGTGTATAGTGTAGTAGTAGTGTATAGTGTAGTAGTGTATAGTGTGGTAGTAGTGTATAGTGTAGTAGAAGTGTATAGTGTAGTAGTAGTAGTGTATAGTGTAGTAGTAGTGTATAGTGTAGTAGTGTATAGTATGGTAGTAGTGTATAGTGTGGTAGTAGTGTATAGTGTAGTAGTAGTGTATAGTGTAGTAGTAGTGTATAGTGTGGTAGTAGTGTATAGTGTAGTAGAAGTGTATAGTGTAGTAGTAGTAGTGTATAGTGTAGTAGTAGTGTATAGTGTAGTAGTGTATAGTGTGGTAGTAGTGTATAGTGTAGTAGTAGTGTATAGTGTGGTAGTAGTGTATAGTGTAGTAGTAGTGTATAGTGTGGTAGTAGTGTATAGTGTGTTAGTAGTGTATAGTGTGGTAGTAGTGTATAGTGTAGTAGTAGTGTATAGTGTAGTAGTGTATAGTGTAGTAGTAGTGTATAGTGTGGTAGTAGTGTATAGTGTGGTAGTAGTGTATAGTGTGGTAGTAGTGTATAGTGTAGTAGTAGTGTATAGTGTAGTAGTAGTGTATAGTGTGGTAGTAGTGTATAGTGTGGTAGTAGTGTATAGTGTGGTAGTAGTGTATAGTGTGGTAGTAGTGTATAGTGTGGTAGTAGTGTAGTGTGGTAGTAGTGTATAGTGTGGTAGTAGTGTATAGTGTAGTAGTAGTAGTGTATAGTGTGTTAGTAGTGTATAGTGTGTTAGTAGTGTATAGTGTGGTAGTAGTGTATAGTGTAGTAGTAGTAGTGTATAGTGTGTTAGTAGTGTATAGTGTGTTAGTAGTGTATAGTGTGGTAGTAGTGTATAGTGTAGTAGTAGTGTAGTGTGGTAGTAGTGTATAGTGTGGTAGTAGTGTATAGTGTGGTAGTAGTGTATAGTGTAGTAGTAGTAGTGTATAGTGTGTTAGTAGTGTATAGTGTGGTAGTAGTGTATAGTGTAGTAGTAGTAGTGTATAGTGTGTTAGTAGTGTATAGTGTGTTAGTAGTGTATAGTGTGGTAGTAGTGTATAGTGTAGTAGTAGTGTAGTGTGGTAGTAGTGTATAGTGTGTTAGTAGTGTATAGTGTGGTAGTAGTGTATAGTGTAGTAGTAGTAGTGTATAGTGTGGTAGTAGTGTATAGTGTGGTAGTAGTGTATAGTGTGGCAGTAGTGTATAGTGTAGTAGTAGTGTATAGTGTAGTAGTAGTGTATAGTGTGTTAGTCAATCCGCTTGTCACCAGGACAAGCGGATTGAGAAGCTAACAAACGATCGATACTGGCAAAGAGGAACCCCATGCAATCCTCACAGATGGATTCACGGATACCTGCGTCTGCTTGATGAGCTGGTGCAGCTCCCCCAGCATGTCGGAGATGCGAGTGTCAGCAGCGAGCAGAGCCATCCTCTTGTCCACGGCTCCCTCCGCGGTGCTGCTGGCGGCTGGCCGCTTGGCGTTTTGAGCCTTTGGGCCTGCCAATGGGGATGGGAAGGAGGAGAGACGATTCATTAGTGCAGGTTTGGTGAGGCCGCAAGATGAACTTCAGGCAACGTCATCATCATTGTTGCTACTGCTACTACCCTCACTGCTACTACTACCCTCACCACCATCACCACCACCTTCACCACTCTCACCACCCTCCCTTCCTCACCTCACCCTCCCCCCCCTCCTCACCTCACCCTACCCCTCCTCACCCCCCCTCCTCCTCACCTCACCCTACCCCTCCGCACCTCACCTTCCCCCCCTCCTCTCACCCTACCCTCCCTCCTCCTCACCTCACCCCTCCCCCCCTCCTCCTCACCTCACCCCCCCTCCTCCTCACCTCACCCTACCCCTCCTCACCTCACCCTACCCCCCCTCCTCCTCACCTCACCCTCCTCCCCACCTCACCCTACCCCCCTCCTCCTCACCTCACCCTACCCCCCTCAACCTCACCCTCCTCACCTCACCTCACCTCACCCTACCCCCCTCACCTCACCCTCCTCACCTCACCTCACCTTCCCCTCCTCCTCACCTCACCCTCAGCCTACCCCTCCTCCTCCTCACCTCACCCCCCTTCTCCTCACCTCACCCTACCCCCCTCACCTCACCTCACCCTCCTCACCTCACCTTCCCCTCCTCCTCACCCTACCCCTCCTCACCTCACCCTACCCCCCCTCACCTCACCTCACCCCCCTCACCTTCCCCTCCTCCTCACCTCACCCTACCCCTCCTCACCTCACCTCACCCTCCTCACCTCACCTTCCCCCTCCTCACCTCACCCTACCCCCCTCACCTCACCTCACCCCCCTCACCTTCCCCTCCTCCTCACCTCACCCTACCCCTCCTCACCTCACCTCACCCTCCTCACCTCACCTTCCCCTCCTCACCTCACCCTACCCCCCTCACCTCACCTCACCCCCCTCACCTTCCCCTCCTCCTCACCTCACCCTACCCCTCCTCACCTCACCTCACCCTCCTCACCTCACCTTCCCCTCCTCACCTCACCCTACCCCCCCCTCACCTCACCTCACCCTCCTCACCTCACCCTCCTCACCTCACCCTACCCCCCCCTCACCTCACCTCACCCTACCCCCCTCCTCCTCCTCACCCTCCTCACCCTACCCCCCTCACCTCCCCTCACCCTCCTCACCTCACCTTCCCCTCCTCCTCCTCACCTCACCCTACCCCCCTCACCTCACCTCACCCTCCTCACCTCACCTCACCTTCCCCTCCTCACCTCACCTTCCCCTCCTCCTCACCCTACCCCCCTCCTCCTCCTCACCTCACCCCCCCTCCTCACCTCACCCCTCCGCACCTCACATTCCCCTCCTCCCCACCTCACCCTACCCCCCTCCTCCTCCTCACCTCACCCTACCCCCCTCACCTCACCTCACCCCCCTCACCTCACCTTCCCCTCCTCACCTCACCCTACCCCCCTCACCTCACCTCACCCCCCTCACCTTCCCCTCCTCCTCACCCTACCCCCCTCCTCCTCCTCACCTCTTCCCGGCCGTCTGACCGCAGCGGCAGCCGCAGAGGCCGCGGTGCTCGCGGCCGCAGCCGCCGCCGAAGCGGCCGCGGCCGCGGGCCCCAGGGGCGGTGGCGCCGCGGCGGCGGTCGCAGCCGCCGCCGAAGCCGCCGCCGAAGCGGCCGCCGAGGCGAGGAGGGCCGCGGGCTGCTCCCTCCTCGAGGGGCTCCCTCGAGGCCCCCCCAGTGGGGGCGGCTCCGCCAGCAGTGGAGCGAGCGGGCTCTTGCGCGGGCTGCGCCTCTACCCTCGATTATTTGCATAAAAAAATCGCGCGAAGCGGCGCCTCTCCCCCCACCAGCCCAGCCGGACACAACCGCGACCAAGGCCAGGCTGCGGCCTAGCGGGGTCACGTGGGCAGCCCCGCCCCCTTTCCCCCACCTCCCTCGCCGCTCGCCCCGCCCCCTCCCTCACTCACCTCGCCCCCCCCCTCACCTCGCCCCCCCTCACCACGCCCCCTCCCCCACTCATCTCGCCCCCCCTCACCTCGCCCCCTCCCCCACTCACCTCGCCCCCTCCCCCTACGTGCAGGAGGAGGTCACGGCACAGACCCAGCAGGTGCCATGGGTAGACTGCTGTGCCAGGCTAGGTGCAGGAGTGTCACGGGACAGACCCAGCAGGTGCCATGGGTTGACTGCTGTGCCAGGCTAGGTGCAGGAGGAGGTCACGGGACAGACCCAGCAGGTGCCATGGGTTGACTGCTGTGCCAGGCTAGGTGCAGGAGTGTTACGGGACAGACCCAGCAGGTGCCATGGGTTGACTGCTGTGCCAGGCTAGGTGCAGGAGGTCACGGGACAGACCCAGCAGGTGCCATGGGTTGACTGCTGTGCCAGGCTAGGTGCAGGAGGTCACGGGACAGACCCAGCAGGTGCCACGGGTCGACTGACTGAGATGACTGGCTGATGCACCACCTGTGCCCCCTACTGTGCCAACCTGCTGTGCTTTAGCCACCCGGCGCTCCACTCGTTGTTGTGAGCGTCGCTCCTCCGCCCTCCGTTGTTGTTGGAGGGCGACTGCCTCCAACTGCCCAGTAGCGTCCTTCACGAGCCTCCTCCTCCACAGAGGCCGATCTTGACACCGCTGGTACCGGTCATTGGCAAGTCTAGTCGGCTCCTCATCCTCCTGAACCACATCACTCCGTCTTTTCTACTCACTCGTCCACTCACTCACCCATCCGTCTATCTCTTCTCTAGCCCGTGCCGTGCCCGTTTAGTCCCCACTATGCAGCCAAATAAAAGCTGCTTGGCCATGCGGTGGCTGGGCATGCGAACTACATGACCCACCCGGCCAACGCAGCCTTGCCTGCTAGAGGAGCTCACTGATGGGACTGTGTCCAGATCTCTCAAGGATTTGTGAGCCCCTCACACAATTCAGCCTGCAGGTTCAACCCAGGACGGATCGTAGCCAGGCCATTCTGAATGTTTCTAACCAGCACAGATGTTCCGTTCAAGGGGTCTACGTTTCACAAGCGTAGCGAAGGGAGGGCATGACCGTGGCCGAGAAGACCAAAAGCTTCATGCGGAGCGACAGACCAGGTCGCTTCCACACAGCAGCGTTACACAGCCGATGAAAAGATAATGCCGCTCCACTGATTCACAGCAAGACCTCTGCTGTCAAATCGGTCATGAGCACACTGCCCAGGTTTGGGAAATTCTACACTCTCACCCACAACTGCCCCATCACCGATTGGGAGTTGTGGGGGTGGAGTGTCCGATGGTACAAAATACCCAGGAAGGTGCTTAGTTTTTGTGGGGCTGATGGTAAGGCCCCACCTCTTAGTGGCAAGCTCCAGGTTCAGCAGGAGCGCCTCTAACTTCTTTCAGTGAGCAGGAGTCACCAGATCATCAACACACATAACATAGTTGACCAATAGCAAGCCATCCCTCAAAAGCACCCGATCATCAATGAGTCTCTCATTGTATCTGTACCAGATGGAAATGATTCTGGTACAGCCATCGAAGGCTTCACGAACTACATGGTCAAAGATGATGTTAAATAATGTTGGAGCCAGAGGACATCCCTATCGCACCCCACGGTAAACAGGATCCGACTCCTGCCCACCATCATGAAGGCCCTTAATGATCGTGAGCAGAGAGTCAGGGACTCCGAAAGCACGAAGAACGGCCCACAGCCCTGGTCTGTTCATGGTATCATAGGCCTTGACCAGGTCAATAAAGCAGAGATGTCGGTCTTGCTGGAAATCTCAACACCTCTGCTGTAGCAGACAGAGAATATGACATCTGTGTAGGACCGCCCTGGTCTGAAACCTCATTGGGGCTCCGCAAGCCTCTCCTCAGCGTGCTACCTGGCAAGGCGATGTTGAATAATCCTCGCCAGGACCTTTCCCGGTACACTGAGAAGAGAGATGCCCCTGTAGCTGTTACAATCACCAGGGGGGCATCATTCCAATGGAGCCGAACCCCTCCTGTGGCCCAGCCGTTTGTGAGAATGTCACGTGGGGCAGTCTGCACACAGACGCCACCCTCCCTCAGCATTTCGCTTGGGAGATCGTCTCTACCCGTCTCTGCCCAGCGCTTTTCCCCGTCCCAAGACTCCAGATCGCCCCTCACACTTCCTCCACAGATGGCACCTCAGCCAACCAATGTTTGAGGCACCGCAGCCACCAACACCACCACCACCAACACCACCACAACACCACCACTACCACCACTACCAACACCACCATCACCAACACAACACCACCAACACCAACACCACTACCAACACCACCACCAACACCACCACCACCAACACAACACCACCAACACCAACACCACTACCAACACCACCAACACCACCACCAACACCACCACCAACACAACACCACCACTACCAACACCACCATCACCAACACAACACCACTACCAACACCACTACCAACACCACCAACACCACCACCAACACCACCACCAACACAACACCACCACCACTACCAACACCACCATCACCAACACAACACCACCAACACCAACACCACCATCACCATCACCAACACCACCACCAACACCACCACCACAACACCACCACAACACCACCACCACCACAACACCACCATCACCAACACCGCCACCAACACAACACCACCATCACCAACACATCACCAACACAACACCACCATCACCAACATCACCAACACAACACCACCACTACCAACACCACCAACACCACCATCACCAACACATCACCAACACAACACCACCATCACCAACACCACCACCAACACCACTACCAACACCATCACCACAACACCAACACCACCAACACCAACACCACCAATACAACACCACCACAACACCACCATCACCAACACCACCACCACAACACCACCACCATCACCAACACATCACCAACACAACACCACCATCACCATCACCAACATCACCAACACAACACCACCACTACCAACACCACCAACACCACCATCACCAACACATCACCAACACAACACCACCATCACCATCACCAACACCACCACCAACACCACTACCAACACCATCACCACAACACCAACACCACCAACACCACCACCAATACAACACCACCACAACACCACCAACATCACCAACACCACCACCAACACAACACCTCCATCACCAACACCACTACCAACACCACCAACATCACCACCACCACAACACCAAAACCACCACCAACACAACACCACCATCACCAACACCACCAACACCACCACCAACACAACACCACCATCACCAACACCACCAACACCAACACCACCACCATCACCAACACCACCACAACACCAACACCACCACCAACACAACACCACCATCACCAACACCACTACCAACACCATCACCATCACCAACACAACACCACCACCACCATCACCAACACCACCACAACACCACTACCACCAACAACACAACGACACCACCACAACACCAACACAACACCACTACCAACACAACACCACCAACACCACTAGCAACACCACCAACATCACCAACACAACACCACCACAACACCACTACCACCACCAACACAACACCACCACAACACCAACACAACACCAACACAACACCACCACAACACCACTACCACCAACAACACAACGACACCACCACAACCCCAACACAACACCACTACCAACACAACACCACCAACACCACTAGCAACACCACCAACATCACCATCACCAACACAACACCACCATCACCACTACCACCACCAACACAACACCACAACACCAACACAACACCACCACAACACCACTACCACCAACAACACAACGACACCACCACAACACCAACACAACACCACTACCAACACAACACCACCAACACCACTAGCAACACCACCAACATCACCATCACCAACACAACACCACCACAACACCACTACCACCACCAACACAACACCACCACAACACCACCACAACACCAACACAACACCACCACCAACACCACCAATGACGCGGGGTTTATTTCACGCCACATTTAGAATCGACATGACGCGTTTTAGAGGATGTGGCTGATATGAGAAATCCCCACGTGACAAGCCACCACGCGACAAGCCACCACGTGGTTGAGCTGCTATCATTATGATGGCCAGGTCGCTTCTGAACAAAGAGTTACACAGCAGCTCAGTGGGGTCTTCTCACACCTGGTAACACTCAACTAAATAGAGTTTATCTGCAAAACCGGTACCTAGTGGGCCTCGCCCCCCCCCTCTCCCCTAGGTCGACTCAGCCTAAAATGAGTACCTGGGGCAGTGGTGCGTAGTTTAAACATAGCCACTGGGGAGACAAAGGCGGTCGGGCGGGCATTGCTCAGGCCATGACAGCCACATTCATTCACTATCAGTGGGGGGGGGGGGCGAGATGAATGCCAGCGATACGGATTATTTAGTGACGCATTGACTCATTAACACCCAGCCGGTCACTCATTGCCACGCACGTCCTTCACTCACGCGAATCGCAAAGCTCCCCCAGGTAGCCTCTAGCAGGGCTGTAGGGGCAAGTGCTGCTAGTAGCGAGTAGCACCACCTATGATGCACACACAGACAAAGCTCCCCCAGGTAGCCTCTAGCAGGGCTGTAGGGGCAAGTGCTGCTAGTAATCGCAGGTAGCAGCACCACCTATGATCATACAGACAAATCTCCCCCAGGTAGCCTCTAGCAGGGCTGTAGGGGCAAGTGCTGTTAGTGGCGAGTAGCTCCACCTATGATACACGCACAGGCAAAGCTCCCCCAGGTAGTCTCTAGCAGGGCTGTAGGGCCAAGTGCTGCTAGTGGCGAGTAGCACCACCTATGATACACACACAGGCAAAGCTCCCCCAGGTACTCTCTAGCAGGGCTGTAGGGGCAAGTGCTGTTAGTTGCGAGTAGCTCCACCTATGATGTACACACAGAGGGGGGTGGGTGGCCAGCGCCACCACGCCCGCCCGGCCGTCTTTGTCTCCCCGTGCTGGCGATGTTTGCCACACACCGCACGCGGTGCCCGTTTGAGTCCCCCTAGGGGGAGACCCAGGGCCAGTTCAGACAACGGTCAGCGATGGAGGTGGTGGTGGTGGTGGCCGTGATGGTCGGGAATCGAACTCAGCGGTAACGGGGTTCGTGGCCCGGCCACAGACACCACCGCGGCCACCGCCAGTGGCGCCTGTGCCAGGCTAGGTGCACTCCGAGGCCGTGACACGTGACGAGCCCCACTGACGCGCGTGCTGCCCCCCCCCCCCCAGCCATTAATGAGTCTCCAATCACTGCCGGGCAAAGGTGAAAGTTCAACTCGCGTGGAGCGGTGATACGGAGCACGCTCTGCTCACATCACCACCTCGTCTCCTCACCTCCTCACTCCGTGTCTCCTCACCTCCTCACTCCGCGTCTCCTCACCTCGTCTCCTCACCTCGTCTCCTCACCTCGTCTCCTCACCTCACCTCCTCACTTCGTCTCCTCACCTCCTCACTCCGTGTCTCATCACCTCGTCTCCTCACCTCGTCTCCTCACCTCGTCTCCTCACCTCCTCACTCCGTGTCTCCTCACCTCGTCTCCTCACCTCCTCACTCCGTGTCTCATCACCTCACTCCGTGTCTCCTCACTTCGTCTCCTCACTCCGTGTCTCCTCACCTCGTCTCCTCACCTCGTCTCCTCACCTCGTCTCCTCACCTCCTCACTCCGTGTCTCCTCACCTCGTCTCCTCACCTCGTCTCCTCACCTCCTCACTCCGTGTCTCCTCACCTCGTCTCCTCACCTCGTCTCCTCACCTCGTCTCCTCACCTCCTCACTCCGTGTCTCCTCACCTCGTCTCCTCACCTCGTCTCCTCACCTCGTCTCCTCACCTCTTCACTCCGTGTCTCCTCACCTCGTCTCCTCACCTCGTCTCCTCACCTCGTCTCCTCACCTCCTCACTCCGTGTCTCCTCACCTCGTCTCCTCACCTCACCTCATCACCTCGTCTCCTCACTCCGTGTCTCCTCACCTCGTCTCCTCACCTCGTCTCTTCACCTCGTCTCCTCACCTCACCTCCTCACTTCGTCTCCTCACCTCCTCACTCCGTGTCTCATCACCTCGTCTCCTCACCTCGTCTCCTCACCTCGTCTCCTCACCTCCTCACTCCGTGTCTCCTCACCTCGTCTCCTCACCTCCTCACTCCGTGTCTCATCACCTCGTCTCCTCACCTCGTCACTCCGTGTCTCCTCACTTCGTCTCCTCACTCCGTGTCTCCTCACCTCGTCTCCTCACCTCGTCTCCTCACCTCGTCTCATCACCTCCTCACTCCGTGTCTCCTCACCTCGTCTCATCACCTCGACTCCTCACCTCCTCACTCCGTGTCTCCTCACCTCGTCTCCTCACCTCATCTCCTCACCTCGTCTCCTCACCTCCTCACTCCGTGTCTCCTCACCTCGTCTCCTCACCTCGTCTCCTCACCTCGTCTCCTCACCTCTTCACTCCGTGTCTCCTCACCTCGTCTCCTCACCTCGTCTCCTCACCTCGTCTCCTCACCTCCTCACTCCGTGTCTCCTCACCTCGTCTCCTCACCTCACCTCATCACCTCGTCTCCTCACTCCGTGTCTCCTCACCTCGTCTCCTCACCTCGTCACTCCGTGTCTCCTCACCTCGTCACTCCGTGTCTCCTCACCTCGTCTCCTCACCTCGTCTCCTCACCTCCTCACTCCGTGTCTCCTCACCTCGTCTCCTCACCTCGTCTCCTCACTTCGTCTCCTCACCTCGCCTCATCACCTCGTCTCCTCACCTCGTCTCCTCACCTCGTCACTCCGTGTCTCCTCACCTCGTCACTCCGTGTCTCCTCACCTCGTCACTCTGTGTCTCCTCACCTCGTCACTCCGTGTCTCCTCACTTCGTCTCCTCACCTCGCCTCCTCACCTCGTCTCCTCACCTCGTCTCCTCACCTCGTCTCCTCACCTCGTCTCCTCGCCTCGTCATGGGGAAGCTGCGGAGTGTAAAGACGGCTTCCATCTCTCAGGACTTCAGGTGAGGCCTTGACATCACCTCATCATCATCATCATGATCATCACCTCAACATCATCATAAACATCATCAACTTTATCCTCATCAACATCATGATCACCTCATCAACTTCATCATCATCATGAACATCATGATCACCTCATCAACATCATCAACGTAATTATAATCATCATTATCAAGATCATTACAATCATCATTAACATAATTATAATCATCACCATCATGATCACCTCATCATCATCATCATCACCTCAACTACATCATCATCATCGTCGTCATTCCTCATCATCATTCTGCCAGCAGAATGCAGAACCGCGCAGCGTGGACTACTCTCCATCTGTCCCATCGGTATGGGGATAGAGCGTTGCCCCCTTGCACGCGTGGGGTTTCTCCAGGTGCTCCGTGAATAATAAGATATAATCGTAAAACATTTAAATAAACACCTACACTGCGTGATAATAACTCTATGTGTCCTGACTTGTGGGCCACTCTATATAACAATAATCATGTGTCCTGATTTTTGAGCCACCCTGTATTGTAACAATAACCCCGATGTGTCCTGACTTGTGGGCCACCCTGTACAACAACAACAACAACCACCCTGTCCAACAACAACAACCACCCTGTACAACAACAACAACAACCACCCTGTACAACAACAACAACCCTGTACAACAACAACCACCCTGTACAACAACAACAACATCCATCCTGTACAACAACAACAACAACCACCCTGTACCACAACCACCCTGTACAACAACAACAACCACCCTGTACAACAACAACCACCCTGTACAACAACAACAACAACCACCCTGTACAACAACAACAACAACCACCCTGTACCACAACCACCCTGTACAACAACAACAACAACCACCCTGTACAACAACAACAACAACCCTGTACAACAACAACAACAACCACCCTGTGCAACAACAACAACAACCACCACCCTGTACAACAACAACAACCACCCTGTACAACAACAACCACCCTGTACAACAACAACCACCCTGTACAACAACAACCACCCTGTACAACAACAACCCTGTACAACAACAACAACCACCACCCTGTACCACAACAACAACAACCACCCTGTACCACAACAACAACAACCACCCTGTACCACAACAACAACAACCACCCTGTACCACAACAACAACCCTGTACAACAACAACAACCACCACCCTATACAACAACAACCACCCTGTACCACAACAACAACAACCCTGTACAACAACAACAACCACCACCACCCTATACAACAACCACCACCACCACCCTGTACCACAACAACAACAACCCTGTACAACAACAACAACCACCACCACCCTATACAACAACCACCACCACCACCCTGTACCACCACCACCACCACCCTGTACCACTACCACCACCACAACAACCACCACCACCACCCTGTACCACCACCACCACCCTATACAACAACCACCACCACCACCCTGTACCACCACCACCACCCTGTACCACCACCACCACCACAACAACCACCACCACCACCCTGTACCACCACCACCACCACCCTATACAACAACCACCACCACCACCACCCTGTACCACCACCACCACCCTGTACCACCACCACCACCACAACAACCACCACCACCACCCTGTACCACCACCACCACCCTATACAACAACCACCACCACCACCACCCTATACCACCACCACCACCCCCCTGTACCACCACCACCACAACAACCACCACCACCCTGTACCACCACCACCACCACCCTATACAACAACCACCACCACCACCCTGTACCACCACCACCACCACCCTGTACCACCACCACCACCACCACAACAACCACCACCACCACCCTGTACCACCACCACCACCACCCTATACAACAACCACCACCACCACCCTGTACCACCACCACCACCCCCCTGTACCACCACCACCACCACAACAACCACCACCACCACCCTGTACCACCACCACCACCACCACCACCACCCTGTACCACCACCACCACAACAACCACCACCACCACCCTGTACCACCACCACCACCACCACCACCCTATACAACAACCACCACCACCCTGTACCACCACCACCACCCCCCTGTACCACCACCACCACCACCACAACAACCACCACCACCACCCTGTACCACCACCACCACCCTGTACCACCACCACCACCCTGTACCACCACCACCACCACCCTATACAACAACCACCACCACCACCACCCTGTACCACCACCACCACCCCCCTGTACCACCACCACCACCACAACAACCACCACCACCACCCTGTACCACCACCACCACCACCCTGTACCACCACCACCACCACAACAACCACCACCACCACCCTGTACCACCACCACCACCACCACCACCCTATACAACAACCACCACCACCCTGTACCACCACCACCACCCCCCTGTACCACCACCACCACAACAACCACCACCACCACCCTGTACCACCACCACCACCCTGTACCACCACCACCACCCTGTACCACCACCACCACCACCACCCTATACAACAACCACCACCACCACCACCCTGTACCACCACCACCACCCCCCTGTACCACCACCACCACCACCACCACAACAACCACCACCACCACCCTGTACCACCACCACCACCACCACCCTGTACCACCACCACAACAACCACCACCACCACCCTGTACCACCACCACCACCACCACCACCCTATACAACAACCACCACCACCCTGTACCACCACCACCACCCCCCTGTACCACCACCACCACCACCACAACAACCACCACCACCACCCTGTACCACCACCACCACCCTGTACCACCACCACCCTGTACCACCACCACCACCCTGTACCACCACCACCACCACAACAACCACCACCACCACAACAACCACCACCACCACCCTGTACCACCACCACCACCCTGTACCACCACCACAACAACCACCACCACCACCCTGTACCACCACCACAACAACCACCACCACCACCACCCTGTACCACCACCACCACCACAACAACCACCACCACCCTGTACCACCACCACCACCCTGTACCACCACCACAACAACCACCACCACCACCACCCTGTACCACCACCACAACAACCACCACCACCACCACCCTGTACCACCACCACAACAACCACCACCACCACCCTGTACCACCACCACCACCCCCCGCCGCGTCACGACTTGTGGTCCCCCTCCCTCTCCCACAGCCCCGCGGGGGCCGCCTCCTCCCCGCTGCCCCCAGCCCCGCCCCCCGCGCGCGAGCGCTGGAGTCGCCGCGCCGAGTTCACCCTCGCGTGCACCGGCTACGCCGTGGGGCTGGGCAACGTCTGGAGGTTCCCCTACCTCTGTTACCGCAGCGGGGGAGGTGGGTGGGGGTGATGAGGGGGGAGGGGGGGTGATGAGGGGGGTGGGGGGGGTGACAGGTGAGGGGGGTGGGGGGTGGGGGGTGGGGGGGGTGACAGGTGAGGGGGGTGGGGGGTGGGGGGTGGGGGGGGTGACAGGTGAGGGGGGAGGGGGGTGGGGGGTGGGGGGGGTGACAGGTGAGGGGGGAGGGGGGTGGGGGGGGTGACAGGTGAGGGTGGTGGGGGGGGGTGATAGGTGAGGGGGGGAGAGGGGAGGGGGGAGGGAGGGGGGAGGTGGGTGGGGGGGTGATGACAGGTGAATGGGGGAGGTGAGGGTGGAAGGTGAGGGGGGAGGGGAGAGGGGGGAGGTTATGAGGGGGGGGAGGTGTGGGTGAGTCTGTGTGTGTGAGTGAGTCTGTGTGTGTGAATGTCTGTGTGTGAGTGAGTCTGTGTGTGTGTGAATGTCTGTGTGTGTGAGTGAGTCTGTGTGTGTGAATGTCTGTGTGTGAGTGAGTCTGTGTGTGTGTGAATGTCTGTGTGTGTGAGTGAGTCTGTGTGTGTGTGAATGTCTGTGTGTGAGTGAATCTGTGTGTGTGTGTGAATGTCTGTGTGTGAGTGAGTCTGTGTGTGTGTGAATGTCTGTGTGTGTGAGTGTGTGAATGTCTGTGTGTGTGAGTGGGTCTGTGTGTGTGAATGTCTGTGTGTGTGAGTGGGTCTGTGTGTGAGTGAGTCTGTGTGTGAGTGAGTCTGTGTGTGTGAGTGAGTCTGTGTGTGTGAGTGAGTCTGTGTGTGTGAGTGAGTCTGTGTGTGTGAGTGTCTGTGTGTGAGTGTCTGTGTGTGTGAGTGAGTCTGTGTGTGTGAGTGTCTGTGTGTGTGAGTGAGTCTGTGTGTGTGAGTGTCTGTGTGTGTGAGTGAGTCTCTGTGTGAGTCTCTGTGTGAGTGAGTCTGTGTGTGTGAGTGAGTCTGTGTGTGTGAGTGTCTGTGTGTGTGAGTGAGTCTGTGTGTGTGAGTGAGTCTGTGTGTGTGAATGTCTGTGTGTGAGTGAGTCTGTGTGTGTGAGTCTGTGTGTGTGAGTGAGTCTGTGTGTGTGAGTGAGTCTGTGTGTGTGAGTGAGTCTGTGTGTGTGAGTGAGTCTGTGTGTGTGTGAATGTCTGTGTGTGTGAATGTCTGTGTGTGAGTGAGTCTGTGTGTGTGTGAATGTCTGTGTGTGAGTGAGTCTGTGTGTGTGAATGTCTGTGTGTGAATGTCTGTGTGTGAGTGAGTCTGTGTGTGTGTGAATGTCTGTGTGTGAGTGAGTCTGTGTGTGTGAATGTCTGAGTGTGAGTGAGTCTGTGTGTGTGTGAATGTCTGTGTGTGAGTGAGTCTGTGTGTGTGTGAATGTCTGTGTGTGAGTGAGTGAGTCTGTGTGTGTGAGTGAGTCTGTGTGTGTGAATGTCTGTGTGTGAGTGAGTCTGTGTGTGTGTGTGAATATCTGTGTGTGAGTGAGTCTGTGTGTGTGGGTGGGTGTCTGTATGTGAGTGAGTCTGTGTGTGAGTGAGTTTGTGTGTGTGAGTGAGTCTGTGTGTGTGAGTGAGTTTGTGTGAGTGAGTCTGTGTGTGTGAGTGAGTCTGTGTGTGTGAATGTCTGTGTGTGTGAGTGTCTGTGTGTGTGAGTGAGTCTGTGTGTGTGAGTGAGTCTGTGTGTGTGAGTTATGTATGCTGATGATTTGGTAATAGCTGCTCATTTAGAGGAGGATTTGGAGACGCTGCTGCTGAGACTGGAGCGTGCCACTAAGAGATGGGGCCTTACCCTCAGCCCCACCAAAACTAAGCACCTGCCTGGGTATTTTGTACCATCGGACACTCCACCCCCACAACTCCCAATCGGTGATGGGGCAGTTGTGGAGAGAGTGGAGAGTTTCCAATACCTGGGCAGTGTGCTTATGACCGTTTCCAGTTTAACAGCAGAGGTCTCACTCCGAATCAGTCGAGCGGCAATATCTTTTCATCGGTTGCGTAACGCTGTGTGGAAGCTACCTGGTCTGTCGCTCCGCACTAAGCTTCAGGTCTTCTCGGCCACGGTCATTCCCTCCCTTCTCTACGCTTGTGAAACGTGGACCCCCCCCCTAATGGAACATCTTCGCCGGTTAGAAACATTTAGGCTGGCCTGCCTACGATCCATCCTGGGTTTAACCAGACTGGATTGTGTGAGGGGCTCACAAATCCTTGAAAGATCTGGACAAGGTCCCATCGGTGAGCTCCTCCGGCAGGCAAGGCTGCGATGGCTGGGTCATGTAGCCCGCATGCCCAGCCACCGCCTGCCGAAACAGCTTCTGTTCGGCCGGATCGAGGGGGCTAAACGGGCGCGGCACGGGCTAGAGAAGAGATGGAGTGATGTGGTACAGGAGGACGTGGAGCTGAGTGGACTTGCCGATGACTGGTACCAGCGGTGTCAAGATCGGCCTCTGTGGAGGAGGCTCGTGAAAGACGCTACTGGGCATTTAGAGGCAGTCGCTCTCCAACAACAACGGAGGGCGGAGGAGCGACGCTCACAACAACGAGCGGAGCGCCGGGTGGCTAAAGCACAGCAGGTTGGCACAGTAGGGGGCACAGGTGGTGCATCAGCCAGTCATCTCAGTCAGTCGACCCGTGGCACCTGGGTCTGCCCCGTGACCTCCTGCCAGCGGGCGTTCGACACTCCACGTGGCCTCAAGGTGCACATAGCCTGGCACAAGCGTCGTGGTGACGTCACCGCCACTTAGTGGCGAATGGCGGTTGTTGTTGTTGTTGTGAGTGAGTCTGTGTGTGAGTGAGTCTGTGTGTGTGAATGTCTGTGTGTGAGTGAGTCTGTGTGTGTGAGTCTGTGTGTGAGTGAGTCTGTGTGTGAGTGAGTCTGTGTGTGTGAATGTCTGTGTGTGAGTGAGTCTGTGTGTGAGTGAGTCTGTGTGTGTGAATGTCCGTGTGTGAGTGAGTGAGTCTGTGTGTGTGAGTGAGTCTGTGTGTGAGTGAGTGTGTGTGAGTGAGTCTGTGTGTGTGAATGTCTGTGTGTGAGTGAGTCTGTGTGTGTGAGTGAGTCTGTGTGTGTGAGTGAGTCTGTGTGTGTGAGTGAGTCTGTGTGTGTGTGAATGTCTGTGTGTGTGAATGTCTGTGTGTGAGTGAGTCTGTGTGTGAGTGAGTCTGTGTGTGTGAGTGAGTCTGTGTGTGTGAATGTCTGTGTGTGAGTGAGTCTGTGTGTGAGTGAGTCTGCGTGTGAATGTCTGTGTGTGTGAGTGTGTGAATGTCTGTGTGTGTGAGTGGGTCTGTGTGTGTGAATGTCTGTGTGTGTGAGTGGGTCTGTGTGTGAGTGAGTCTGTGTGTGAGTGAGTCTGTGTGTGTGAGTGAGTCTGTGTGTGTGAGTGGGTCTGTGTGTGTGAATGAGTCTGTGTGTGTGAGTGTCTGTGTGTGAGTGTCTGTGTGTGTGAGTGAGTCTGTGTGTGTGAGTGTCTGTGTGTGTGAGTGAGTCTGTGTGTGTGAGTGTCTGTGTGTGTGAGTGAGTCTGTGTGTGAGTGAGTGAGTCTGTGTGTGTGAGTGAGTCTGTGTGTGTGAGTGTCTGTGTGTGTGAGTGAGTCTGTGTGTGTGAGTGAGTCTGTGTGTGTGAATGTCTGTGTGTGAGTGAGTCTGTGTGTGTGAGTCTGTGTGTGTGAGTGAGTCTGTGTGTGTGAGTGAGTCTGTGTGTGTGAGTGAGTCTCTGTGTGTGAGTGAGTCTGTGTGTGTGCATATCTGTGTGAATGTCTGTGTGTGTGAATGTCTGTGTGTGTGAATGTCTGTGTGTGAGTGAGTCTGTGTGTGTGTGAATGTCTGTGTGTGAGTGAGTCTGTGTGTGTGAATGTCTGTGTGTGAATGTCTGTGTGTGAGTGAGTCTGTGTGTGTGTGAATGTCTGTGTGTGAGTGAGTCTGTGTGTGTGAATGTCTGTGTGTGAGTGAGTCTGTGTGTGTGTGAATGTCTGTGTGTGAGTGAGTCTGTGTGTGTGTGAATGTCTGTGTGTGAGTGAGTGAGTCTGTGTGTGTGAGTGAGTCTGTGTGTGTGAATGTCTGTGTGTGAGTGAGTCTGTGTGTGTGTGTGAATATCTGTGTGTGAGTGAGTCTGTGTGTGTGGGTGGGTGTCTGTATGTGAGTGAGTCTGTGTGTGAGTGAGTTTGTGTGTGTGAGTGAGTCTGTGTGTGTGAGTGAGTTTGTGTGAGTGAGTCTGTGTGTGTGAGTGAGTCTGTGTGTGTGAATGTCTGTGTGTGTGAGTGTCTGTGTGTGTGAGTGAGTCTGTGTGTGTGAGTGAGTCTGTGTGTGTGAGTTATGTATGCTGATGATTTGGTAATAGCTGCTCATTTAGAGGAGGATTTGGAGACGCTGCTGCTGAGACTGGAGCGTGCCACTAAGAGATGGGGCCTTACCCTCAGCCCCACCAAAACTAAGCACCTGCCTGGGTATTTTGTACCATCGGACACTCCACCCCCACAACTCCCAATCGGTGATGGGGCAGTTGTGGAGAGAGTGGAGAGTTTCCAATACCTGGGCAGTGTGCTTATGACCGTTTCCAGTTTAACAGCAGAGGTCTCACTCCGAATCAGTCGAGCGGCAATATCTTTTCATCGGTTGCGTAACGCTGTGTGGAAGCTACCTGGTCTGTCGCTCCGCACTAAGCTTCAGGTCTTCTCGGCCACGGTCATTCCCTCCCTTCTCTACGCTTGTGAAACGTGGACCCCCCCCTAATGGAACATCTTCGCCGGTTAGAAACATTTAGGCTGGCCTGCCTACGATCCATCCTGGGTTTAACCAGACTGGATTGTGTGAGGGGCTCACAAATCCTTGAAAGATCTGGACAAGGTCCCATCGGTGAGCTCCTCCGGCAGGCAAGGCTGCGATGGCTGGGTCATGTAGCCCGCATGCCCAGCCACCGCCTGCCGAAACAGCTTCTGTTCGGCCGGATCGAGGGGGCTAAACGGGCGCGGCACGGGCTAGAGAAGAGATGGAGTGATGTGGTACAGGAGGACGTGGAGCTGAGTGGACTTGCCGATGACTGGTACCAGCGGTGTCAAGATCAGCCTCTGTGGAGGAGGCTCGTGAAAGACGCTACTGGGCATTTAGAGGCAGTCGCTCTCCAACAACAACGGAGGGCGGAGGAGCGACGCTCACAACAACGAGCGGAGCGCCGGGTGGCTAAAGCACAGCAGGTTGGCACAGTAGGGGGCACAGGTGGTGCATCAGCCAGTCATCTCAGTCAGTCGACCCGTGGCACCTGGGTCTGCCCCGTGACCTCCTGCCAGCGGGCGTTCGACACTCCACGTGGCCTCAAGGTGCACATAGTCTGGCACAAGCGTCGTGATGACGTCACCGCCACTTAGTGGCGAATGGCGGTTGTTGTTGTTGTTGTGAGTGAGTCTGTGTGTGAGTGAGTCTGTGTGTGTGAATGTCTGTGTGTGAGTGAGTCTGTGTGTGTGAGTCTGTGTGTGAGTGAGTCTGTGTGTGAGTGAGTCTGTGTGTGTGAATGTCTGTGTGTGAGTGAGTCTGTGTGTGAGTGAGTCTGTGTGTGTGAATGTCCGTGTGTGAGTGAGTGAGTCTGTGTGTGTGAGTGAGTCTGTGTGTGAGTGAGTGTGTGTGAGTGAGTCTGTGTGTGTGAATGTCTGTGTGTGAGTGAGTCTGTGTGTGTGAGTGAGTCTGTGTGTGTGAGTGTGTGAATGTCTGTGTGTGTGAGTGGGTCTGTGTGTGTGAATGTCTGTGTGTGTGAGTGGGTCTGTGTGTGAGTGAGTCTGTGTGTGAGTGAGTCTGTGTGTGTGAGTGAGTCTGTGTGTGTGAATGTCTGTGTGTGAGTGAGTCTGTGTGTGAGTGAGTCTACGTGTGAGTGAGTGAGTCTGTGTGTGAGTGAGTCTGTGTGTGAGTGAGTCTGTGTGTGAATGTCTGTGTGTGTGAGTGAGTCTGTGTGTGAGTGAGTCTGTTTGTGAGTGAGTCTGTGTGTGTGAATGTCTGTGTGTGAGTGAGTCTGTGTGTGATTATCTCAACCGGTCCTGGCCCTCCCCTCGGTCGACTCGGCCTCAAATGAGTGCCCTGGTGTAGCGGTGTAGCGCAGTAAACATCGCCACTGGGGAGACAAAGGCGGCCGGGCGTGGTGGTGTTGGACACCCACCCCCTCTGTGTGTGCCCCAGTGCCGGTAGCTTTCAGAGGCGCCGCTGCTACTCGCTACTAACAGCACTTGCCCCCACAGCCCTGCTAGATGCTACCTGGCGGAGCTTTGTCTGTGTGTACATCATTGGTGGTGCTGCACTTGCCCCTACAGCCCTGCTAGAGGCTACCTGGGGGAGCTTTGTCTGTGTGTACATCATAGGTGGTGCTACTCGCTACTAGCAGCACTTGCCCCTACAGCCTGCTAGAGGCTACCTGGGGGAGCTTTGTGTGTATATCATAGGTGGTGCTGCACTTGCCCCTACAGCCTGTCGAGGCTACACGGGGGCGGGGATCTTTGTCTTGTCGCGTGTCCAGGCGCCTTCCTGCTGCCCTACCTCGTGATGCTCGCCCTGTGCGGCATTCCGCTGCTGCTCATGGAGATGTCCGTGGGCCAATACACGGGGCTGGGACCCGTCAGGGCCCTGGCTGCCATCTGCCCCCTCTTCAAAGGCACGCCACGTCTCCCTCCCCCCCACGTCTCCCTCCCCCCACGTCTCCTTCCCCCCACGTCTCCCCACCCCCCCCACGTCTCTCCACCCCCCCCAACGTCTCCCCACCCCACCCCCCACGTCTCCCCCTCCCCCCACGTCTCTCCCCCACGTCTCCCTCCCCCCACGTCTCCCCCCCACGTCTCTCCCCCACGTCTCTCCACCCCCCCCCCACGTCTCCCCCCCCCCATGTCTCCCCACGTCTCTCCCTACGTCTCCCTCCCCCCCCCACGTCTCCCCCCCCCCACGTCTCTCCCCCACGTCTCCCTCCCCCCACGTCTCCCCACCCCGTCTCTCCCCACATCTCCCCTTCCCCCACGTCTCCCCCCCCCACGTCTCCCCCCCCACGTCTCCCTCCCCCCCCACGTCTCCCCCTCCCCCACGTCTCCCCCCCCCCACGTCTCCCCCCCCCACGTCTCCGCCCCCCCCACGATGTCGTGCTGGCTAGGAATTGTTAACGAGCTCGCCTGGCCTACAGGAGGTCACGTGACAGACCCAGCAGGTGCCATGGGTTGACTGCTGTGCCAGGCTAGGTGCACGAGGAGGTCACGGGACAGACCCAGTGGGTGCCATGGGTTGACTGCTGTGCCAGGCTAGGTGCACGAGGAGGTCACGGGACAGACCCAGTGGGTGCCATGGGTTGACCGACTGAGACGGCTGGCAGATGCACCACGTACATCATCATCACCACCACCATAATTACCACCACCATGACCACCACCACCATGATCACCATCATAATCATCACCACCACCATGATCACCATCACCATGATCACTGTCACCACCCCCACCCTCACCACCACCCCCACAATCACTATGATCACCACCACCATCACCACCATCACCACCATCACCACCATGATCACCACCACCATCACCACCGTGATCACCACCATCACCACCATGATCACCATCACCACCATCACCACCATGATCACCATCACCACCATCACCACCATCACCACCACCATCACCACTATCATCACCACCACCATCACCACCATCACCACCATGATCACCACCACCATCACCATCGTGATCACCACCATCACCACCATCACCACCATGATCACCATCACCACCATCACCACCACCATCACCATCACCACCATCACCACCATCATCACCACCATCACCATCACCACCATCATCACCATCATCACCACCATGATCACCACCACCATCACCACCATCATCACCACCATCACCATCACCACCATCACCACCACCATCACCACCATGATCACCACCACCATCACCATCGTGATCACCATCATCACCACCATGATCACCACCACCATCACCACCATCATCACCACCATCACCACCACCATCACCATCACCACCATCACCACCACCATCACCACCATCATCACCACCATCACCACCACCATCACCATCACCACCATCACCACCACCATCACCACCATCATCACCACCATCACCACCACCATCACCATCACCACCATCACCACCACCATCACCACCATGATCACCACCACCATCACCACCATCACCACCGTGATCACCATCATCACCATCACCATCACCACCATCACCACCGTGATCACCATCACCACCATCACCACCATGATCACCATCACCATCACCACCATCACCATGACCACAATCATCACCACCATCACCACCACCATCACCACCGTGATCACCATGATCACCATCACCATCCCCACCATCACCACCATCACCACCACCATCACCATCATCACCATCACCACCATCACCACCATCACCAACATCACCATCATCACCATCACCACCACCATCATCACCACCATCACCACCACCATCACCACCATCACCATCACCACCACCATCACCACCACCATCACCACCACCATCACCATCACCACCATCATCACCACCACCATCACCACCATGATCACCACCACCATCACCACCACCACCATCACCACCACCACCATCACCACCACCACCATCACCACCATCACCACCACCACCATCACCACCACCACCATCACCACCATCATCACCATCACCACCATCATCACCACCATCACCACCACCATCATCACCACCACCATCACCATCACCACCATGACCACCACCTCACCCCTCTCTCCATGCAGGCGTGGGCCTAGCCACGGTGGCCATCTCCTTCCTGCTCTGCAGCTACTACAACGTCATCATCACGTGGGCTCTCTTCTACCTCGTCAACTCCTGCCAGGAGCCGCTGCCCTGGCTGAGCTGCAACAACTCCTGGAACGAGGTGGACTCCTGCTCGGACGGAGTGGCTCGCCCCAACTCCACCCTCCAGTCCTCCAGTCAGCAGTACTACAGGTGAGGTGGTGGACTACTACACTACCACTCAGCAGTACTACAGGTGAGGTGGTGGACAACTACACTACCACTCAGCAGTACTACAGGTGAGGTGGTGGACAACTACACCACCAGTCAGCAGGACTACAGGTGAGATGGTGGACAACTACACTACCACTCAGCAGTACTACAGGTGAGGTGGTGGACAACTACACTACCAGTCAGCAGTACTACAGGTGAGATGGTGGACTACTGCACCACCAGTCAGCAGGACTACAGGTGAGGTGGTGGACAACTACACTACCACTCAGCAGTACTACAGGTGAGATGGTGGACTACTGCACCACCAGTCAGCAGTACTACAGGTGAGGTGGTGGACAACTACACTACCAGTCAGCAGTACTACAGGTGAGATGGTGGACTACTGCACCACCAGTCAGCAGGACTACAGGTGAGGTGGTGGACTACTACACTACCACTCAGCAGTACTACAGGTGAGATGGTGGACTACTACACTACCACTCAGCAGCACTACAGGTGAGGTGGTGGACAACTACACTACCACTCAGCAGCACTACAGGTGAGGTGGTGGACAACTACACTACCACTCAGCAGGACTACAGGTGAGGTGGTGGACTACTGCACCACCAGTCAGCAGTACTACAGGTGAGATGGTGGACTACTACACTACCACTCAGCAGTACTACAGGTGAGGTGGTGAACAACTACACTACCAGTCAGCAGGACTACAGGTGAGGTGGTGGACTACTGCACCACCAGTCAGCAGGACTACAGGTGAGGTGAACAACTACACTACCAGTCAGCAGGACTACAGGTGAGGTGGTGGACTACTGCACCACCAGTCAGCAGGACTACAGGTGAGGTGGTGGACTACTGCACCACCAGTCAGCAGGACTACAGGTGAGGTGGTGGACTACTGCACCACCAGTCAGCAGTACTACAGGTGAGGTGGTGGACAACTACACTACCAGTCAGCAGGACTACAGGTGAGATGGTGGACTACTACACCACCAGTCAGCAGCACTACAGGTGAGATGGTGGACTACTGCACCACCAGTCAGCAGGACTACAGGTGAGGTGGTGGACTACTACACTACCACTCAGCAGTACTACAGGTGAGATGGTGGACTACTACACTACCACTCAGCAGCACTACAGGTGAGGTGGTGGACAACTACACTACCACTCAGCAGTACTACAGGTGAGGTGGTGGACTACTACACTACCAGTCAGCAGTACTACAGGTGAGGTGGTGGACAACTACACTACCACTCAGCAGTACTACAGGTGAGGTGGTGGACTACTACACTACCACTCAGCAGCACTACAGGTGAGGTGGTGGACTACTACACTACCAGTCAGCAGGACTACAGGTGAGGTGGTGGACAACTACACTACCAGTCAGCAGTACTACAGGTGAGATGGTGGACAACTACACTACCAGTCAAGAGTACTACAGGTGAGATGGTGGACAACTACACTGCCAGTCAGCAGTACTACAGGTGAGATGGTGGACAACTACACTACCAGTCAGCAGGACTACAGGTGAGGTGGTGGACTACTACACTACCAGTCAGCAGTACTACAGGTGAGGTGGTGGACAACTACACTGCCAGTCAGCAGGACTACAGGTGAGGTGGTGGACAACTACACTACCAGTCAGCAGTACTACAGGTGAGATGGTGGACAACTACACTACCAGTCAGCAGTACTACAGGTGAGGTGGTGGACAACTACACTACCAGTCAGCAGTACTACAGGTGAGGTGGTGGACAACTACACTACCAGTCAGCAGTACTACAGGTGAGGTGGTGGACTACTACACTACCACTCAGCAGCACTACAGGTGAGGTGGTGGACAACTGCACCACCATCATCATCACCACCACCATCACCACCGCCGCCACCACCACCATCACCACCATCACCACCACTGCCACCACCACCATCACCACCACCACCACCATCACCACCGTGACCCCCCCTGTCACGTGACCCCCCTGTCACCGTGACCCCACCTGTCACGTGACCCCCCTGTCACGTGACCCCCCCCTGTTACCGTGACCCCCCCTGTCACGTGACCCCCCCTGTCACCGTGACCCCCCCTGTCACGTGACCCCCCCTGTCACCGTGACCCCCCCTGTCACCGTGACCCCCCCTGTCACGTGACCCCCCCTGTCACCGTGACCCCCCCTGTCACGTGACCCCCCCTGTCACGTGACCCCCCCTGTCACCGTGACCCCCCCTGTCACGTGACCCCCCCTGTCACGTGACCCCCCCTGTCACGTGACCCCCCCTGTCACGTGCTGTCCAGCAAGCGAGTGCTGTCCATGAGTGGCGGCCTGGAGCAAGGCGGCGCCCTCCGCTGGGAGCTGTTCGGGCTCCTGATCCTCGCCTGGGTTCTCGTCTACCTCTGCATCTTCAAGGGGGTCAAGTCCACGGGCAAGGTGAGAGAGGGGCTCTCATCCCCTCTACCTGGGTGTCCCCTTCATATGAGTCCCCTTTCCCCGTGTCTCCTCCACGTCTCCCACACGTCTCCCTGTGTCTCTCCCACGTCTCTCCCGCGTCTCCCCGTGTCTCCCCACGTCTCCCCGTGTCTCCCCGTGTTTCCCCCACGTCTCCCCGTGTCTCCCCGTGTCTCCCCCGCGTCTCCCCGTGTCTCCCCGTGTCCCCCACGTCTCCCCGTGCCCCCCACGTCTCCCCGTGCCCCCCACATCTCCCCACATCTCCCCGCGTCTCCCCGTGCGTGCCAGGTGGTGTACTTCACGGCCACCTTCCCCTACGTCATCCTCCTGGCCCTGCTCATCAACAACGCCATGTTGCCGGGAGCCATGGACGGAATCCTCTACTACATGAGCCCTCAGTGGGACCAACTACTCAACACGCAGGTACCCTGCCTACCTCCTGAGTCTCTAGTGAGACCAACTACTCAACACACAGGTACCCTGCCTACCTCTTGAGTCTCTAGTGAGACCAACTACTCAACACACAGGTACCCTGCCTACCTCCTGAGTCTCTAGTGAGACCAACTACTCAACACACAGGTACCCTGCCTACCTCCTGAGTCTCTAGTGAGACCAAATACTCAACACGCAGGTACCCTGCCTACCTCCTGAGTCTCTAGTGAGACCAAATACTCAACACGCAGGTACCCTGCCTACCTCCTGAGTCTCTAGTGAGACCAACTACCCAACACACAGGTACCCTGCCTACCTCCTGAGTATCTAGTGAGACCAACTACTCAACACACAGGTACCCTGCCTACCTCCTGAGTCTCTAGTGAGACCAACTACTCAACAAGCAGGTACCCTGCCTACCTCCTGAGTCTCTAGTGAGACCAACTACTCAACACACAGGTACCCTGCCTACCTCCTGAGTCTCTAGTGAGACCAACTACTCAACACACAGGTACCCTGCCTACCTCCTGAGTCTCTAGTGAGACCAACTACTCAACACACAGGTACCCTGCCTACCTCCTGAGTCTCTAGTGAGACCAACTACTCAACACGCAGGTACCCTGCCTACCTCCTGAGTCTCTAGTGAGACCAACTACTCAACACACAGGTACCCTGCCTACCTCCTGAGTCTCTAGTGAGACCAACTACTCAACACACAGGTACCCTGCCTACCTCCTGAGTCTCTAGTGATACCAACTACTCAACACACAGGTACCCTGCCTACCTCTTGAGTCTCTAGTGAGACCAACTACTCAACACACAGGTACCCTGCCTACCTCCTGAGTCTCTAGTGAGACCAACTACTCAACACACAGGTACCCTGCCTACCTCCTGAGTCTCTAGTGAGACCAACTACTCAACACACAGGTACCCTGCCTACCTCCTGAGTCTCTAGTGAGACCAACTACTCAACAAGCAGGTACCCTGCCTACCTCCTGAGTCTCTAGTGAGACCAACTACTCAACACACAGGTACCCTGCCTACCTCCTGAGTCTCTAGTGAGACCAACTACTCAACACACAGGTACCCTGCCTACCTCCTGAGTCTCTAGTGATACCAACTACTCAACACACAGGTACCCTGCCTACCTCTTGAGTCTCTAGTGAGACCAACTACTCAACACACAGGTACCCTGCCTACCTCCTGAGTCTCTAGTGAGACCAACTACTCAACACACAGGTACCCTGCCTACCTCCTGAGTCTCTAGTGAGACCAACTACTCAACACACAGGTACCCTGCCTACCTCCTGAGTCTCTAGTGAGACCAACTACTCAACAAGCAGGTACCCTGCCTACCTCCTGAGTCTCTAGTGAGACCAACTACTCAACACACAGGTACCCTGCCTACCTCCTGAGTCTCTAGTGAGACCAACTACTCAACACACAGGTACCCTGCCTACCTCCTGAGTCTCTAGTGAGACCAACTACTCAACACGCAGGTACCCTGCCTACCTCCTGAGTCTCTAGTGAGACCAACTACTCAACACACAGGTACCCTGCCTACCTCCTGAGTCTCTAGTGAGACCAACTACTCAACACACAGGTACCCTGCCTACCTCCTGAGTCTCTAGTGAGACCAACTACTCAACACACAGGTACCCTGCCTACCTCCTGAGTCTCTAGTGAGACCAACTACTCAACACACAGGTACCCTGCCTACCTCCTGAGTCTCTAGGTACCCTGCCTCCCTACTCTTTGGTTCTATTGGGTAAAGTGCCGGTGGCACGTACACCACCTCTTTCCGATGCTAATTCCTTTGTCAAGGGGTACCTCTGCGGATGTGTATACTTTAACTTAACTATTTCAATGAGCCATTTCAATGCTAAATTATATGCTAATTCCTTTGTCAAGGCGCGTGGTCTTTTTTTCTCACACAGCTTAAAGGTCGTGATCTAAGCGTGGCTTCTTCCACTCCAGCGCTGTCCTCCAGACAGTGTCGTCCCTTCACCTGATGAAGGCCGCTTGTGTTGTGGCCGAAACGTCGTGATTTTTTGTTATTTTATTTTCACCTACGTGACTTTACCCAATAGAACCAAAGAGTATGGATCCTAGCAGTCACGAAAGCTTTAAATCTAGAACCCTGCCTCCCTCCCTCTTATCCCCCCCATCTCGCTCACAGCAGAGATAGATACCCAGATAGATACCCACACACAGAGTAACACACACACACAGACACTCACACACACACAGACTCACACACACTCACACACACACACAGACTCACACACATTCACACACAGACTAACACACACACAGACATTCACTCACACACACACAGACACTCACACACACTCAACAACAACAACAACCGCCATTCGCCACTAAGTGGCGATGACGTCACCACGACGCTTGTGCCAGGCTATGTGCACCCTGAGGCCACGTGAAGTGTCGAACGCCCGCTGGCAGGAGGTCACGGGGCAGACCCAGGTGCCACGGGTCGACTGACTGAGATGACTGGCTGGTGCACCACCTGTGCCCCCTACTGTGCCAACCCGCTGTGCTTTAGCTACCCGGCGCTCCGCTCGTTGTTCTGAGCGTCGCTCCTCCGCCCTCCGTTGTTGTTGGAGGGCGACTGCCTCCAACTGCCCAGTAGCGTCCTTCACGAGCCTCCTCCACAGAGGCCGATCTTGACACCGCTGGTACCAGTCATCGGCAAGTCCACTCAGCTCCACGTCCTCCTGTACCACATCACTCCATCTCTTCTCTAGCCCGTGCCGCGCCCGCTTAGCCCCCTCAATCCGGCCGAACAAAAGCTATTTCGGCATGCGGTGGCTGGGCATGTGGGCTTCATGACCCAGCCATCGCAGCCTTCCCCGCCAGAGGAGCTCACCGATGGGACCTTGCCCAGATCTTTCAAGGATTTGTGAGCTCCTCACACAATCCAGTCTGGTTAAACCCAGGATGGATCGTAGGCAGGCCAGCCTAAATGTTTCTAACCGGCGAAGATGTTCCATTAGGGGGGTCCACGTTTCGCAATCGTAGAGAAGGGAGGGAATGACCGTGGCCGAGAAGACCTGAAGCTTAGTGCGGAGCGACAGACCAGGTAGCTTCCACACAGCATTACGCAACCGATGAAAAGATATTGCCGCTCGACTGATTCGGAGTGAGACCTCTGCTGTTAAACTGGAGCCAGTAATAAGCACACTGCCCAGGTATGGGAAACTCTCCACTCTCTCCACAACTGCGCCATCACCGATTGGGAGTTGTGGGGGTGGAGTGTCCGATGGTACAAAATACCCAGGCAGGTGCTTAGTTTTGGTGCACTGATGGTAAGGCCCCACCTCTTAGTGGCACGCTCCAGTCTCAGCAGCAGCGTCTCCAACTCCTCCTGAATGAGCAGCTATTACCAAATCATCAGCATACATAACGTGGTTGAGCAATAGGGAGCCATCCCTTGACAGCACCCGGGCATCGATCAGCCTCCCATTATATCTGTACCATATGGAGATTCCCCCGATACAGCTATTGAAGGCTTCACGAACTACGTGGTCAAAATAGATGTTAATTAATGTGGGAGCCAGAGGACATCCCTGTCGCACCCCAAGGTTAACAGGGAATGGCTCTGACTCCCGGCCACGTAGTTTTACCCGGGCCCGCTCACCATCATAAAGGTCCTTAATGATCGTGAGCAGAGGGTCAGGGACTCCAAAAGCACGAAGAACAACCCAGACACTCACTCACACACACTCACACACACCGACAGACGCCCTTGTGTGTGTGTGTCTGTGTGTGCGCGTGTGTGTGTCTGTGTGTGTCTGTGTGTCTGTGTGTCTGTGCGTGTGTGTCTGTTTGTGTGTCTGTGTGTGCGTCAGGTGTGGGTCAATGCTGCCGCTCAGATCTTCAACTCCATTGGGATTGGGTTCGGCTCCCTCATATCCATGTCCAGCTACAACGCCTTCGACAACAACATCATCCAGTGAGGACTCACACTCTCACCCACCCACTCACCCACCCACTCACCCACCCATCCACTCACCCACCTACTTACCCACCCACTCACCCACCCGCTCACCCACCCACTCACCCATTCACCCACTCATCCACCCACTAGCCCACCCGTTCACCCACCCACTCACCCACCCACTCACCAACCCACCAACTCATCCACGCGCTCACCCACCCACCCCCTCGCCCACCCACCGACCCACTCAACTCACCCGCCCATCCATCCACTTGCCTACAGCCTCACCGGCTCACTTGACCCACGCGTGCCCTGCAGGCAAGGTGAGGGTTGAGGGTATGGGTAGCCGGGGCCGTAGCGAGGGCTGTGTGGGTGGTGCTGTGCGCAGGGACACGCTCTTCGTCTCAATCATCAACTCGGCCACCAGCATCTTCGCCGGATTCGTCGTCTTCTCGGCCATCGGTTTCATGTCTCACACGCACGGCGTGCCCGTACAGGACATCGCTACGGACGGTGAGACTACCCACTCACCTACCCGCCCACTCGCCTACCCATCCACTCACTTAGCCACTCACTCACCTACCCACTCACTCATCTACCCGCTCACTCACCTACCCACTCACTCACTTAGCCACTCACTCACCTACTTGCTCACTCGCCTACCCACTCACTCACTTAGCCACTCACTCACCTACCCGCCCACTCACCTACCCACTCACTCATCTACCCGCTCACTCACCTACCCACTCACTCACTTAGCCACTCACTCACCTACCTGCTCACTCGCCTACCCACTCACTCACTTAGCCACTCACTCACCTACCCACCCACTCGCCTACCCACCCACTCACTTAGCCACTCACTCACCTACCCGCCCACTCGCCTACCCACCCACTCACTTAGCCACTCACTCACCTACCCGCCCACTCACCTCCCCACCCACTCACTTAGCCACTCACTCACCTACCCGCTCACTTACCTACCCACCCACTCACTTAGCCACTCACTCACCTACCCGCTCACTCACCTACCCACTCACTCACTTAGCCACTCACTCACCTACCTGCTCACTTGCCTACCCACTCACTCACTTAGCTACTCACTCACCTACCCACTCACTCATTTAGCCACTCACTCACCTACCCGCCCACTCACCTCCCCACCCACTCACTTAGCCACTCACTCACCTACCCACTCACTCATTTAGCCACTCACTCACCTACCCGCTCACTCACCTACCCACCCACTCACTTAGCCACTCACTTACCTACCCGCTCACTCACCTACCCACTCACTCACTTAGCCACTCACTCACCTACCCACTCACTCATTTAGCCACTCACTCACCTACCCGCTCACTCACCTACCCACTCATTTTACTCTCCCCGAGTCTCCTCCGTGTCTCCCCGTGTCTCCCCGTGTCTCCCCACGTCTCCCCGTGTCTCCCCGCGTCTCCCCGTGTCTCCCTCGTGTCTCCCCGTGTCTCCCCGTGTCTCCCCGTGTCTCACCACGTCTCCCCCACGTCTCCCCGTGTCTCCCCGTGTCTCCCCGTGTCTCCCGGTGTCTCCCCCACGTCTCCCCGTGTCTCCCCGTGTCTCCCCCACGTCTCCCCGTGTCTCCCCGTGTCTCTCCCGTGTCTCCCCGTGTCTCCCTCGTGTCTCCCCGTGTCTCCCCCACGTCTCCCCCACGTCTCCCCCACGTCTCCCCGTGTCTCCCCCACGTCTTCCCCGTGTCTCCCCCACGTCTCCCCGTGTCTCCCCGTGTCTCCCCCACGTCTCCCCCGTGTCTCCCCCGTGTCTCCCCGTGTCTCCCCCGTGTCTCCCCGTGTCTCCCCCGTGTCTCCCCCGTGTCTCCCCGTGTCTCCCCCGTGTCTCCCCCGTGTCTCCCCGTGTCTCCCCCACGTCTCCCCGTGTCTCCCCGTGTCTCCCCGTGTCTCCCCCACGTCTCCCCGTGTCTCCCCCGTGTCTCCCCGTGTCTCCCTCGTGTCTCCCCACGTCTCCCCGTGTCTCCCCGTGTCTCCCCCACGTCTCTCCGTGTCTCCCCGTGTCTCCCCGTGTCTCCCCCGTGTCTCCCCGTGTCTCCCCCACGTCTCCCCCGTGTCTCCCCGTGTCTCCCCGTGTCTCCCCGTGTCTCCCCCACATCTCCCCGTGTCTCCCCGTGTCTCCCCGTGTCTCCCCCGTGTCGCCCCCGTGTCTCCCTCGTGTCTCCCCCACGTCTCCCCGTGTCTCCCCCACGTCTCCCCCACGTCTCCCCGTGTCTCCCCCGTGTCTCCCCGTGTCTCCCCCGTGTCTCCCCCGTGTCTCCCCGTGTCTCCCCCGTGTCTCCCCGTGTCTCCCCGTGTCTCCCCACGTCTCCCCGTGTCTCCCCCGTGTCTCCCCCACGTCTCCCCCGTGTCTCCCCCGTGTCTCCCCCGTGTCTCCCCCACCAGGACCTGGCCTGGTGTTCGTGGTCTACCCCGAGGTGTTCTCCACCCTGCCCGTGCCCCCCCTCTGGGCTGTGCTCTTCTTCTTCATGCTGCTCTGCCTGGGCCTGGACAGCCAGGTGCCAGGGGATGTGCACCCACGGCGAGGGTGGCGACCATGGTGGTGATGGTGGTGATGGTGGTAGTGATGGTGGTGGTGACGGTGGTGACGGTGGTGGTGACGCTGGTGATGGTGGTAGTGACGGTGGTGGTGATGGTGGTGATGGTGGTGGTCACGATGGTGGTGATGGTGGTGATGACGGTGGTGATGACGGTGGTGATGGTGGTGATTACGGTGGTGGTGGTGATGATGGTGGTGACGGTGGTGATGGTGGTGGTGATGGTGGTGATGATGGTGGTGGTGACGGTGATGAGATGGTGGTGGTGATGGTGGTGATGATGGTGGTGGTGACGGTGCTGCAGTTCGCCATGGTGGAGGTGATGGTGACGGTGGTGATGATGGTGATGGTGGTGATGGTGGTGATGATGGTGATGGTGGTGATGATGGTGATGATGGTGATGATGATGGTGCTGCAGTTTACCATGGTGGAGGTGGTGGTGATGGTGGTGATGATGGTGATGGTGGTGATGATGGTGATGATGATGGTGATGATGACGGTGCTGCAGTTCGCCATGGTGGAGGTGATGGTGATGGTGGTGATGATGGTGATGGTGGTGATGATGGTGATGGTGGTGATGATGGTGATGATGGTGATGATGGTGATGGTGGTGATGATGGTGATGATGGTGATGATGGTGATGATGATGGTGCTGCAGTTCGCCATGGTGGAGGTGGTGGTGATGGTGGTGATGGTGATGGTGGTGATGATGGTGATGATGATGGTGATGATGATGGTGCTGCAGTTCGCCATGGTGGAGGTGGTGATGATGATGGTGATGATGATGTTGCTGCAGTTCGCCATGGTGGAGGTGGTGATGATGATGGTGATGATGATGTTGCTGCAGTTCGCCATGGTGGAGGTGATGGTGACCACGCTGATGGACAGCTATGGAGCGACGCTGCTTCGGCTGCTGCGCAGGAGGGAGGTGGTGGTGGCGGCGGTGTGCGGCCTCGCCCTGCTGCTGGGCCTGCCCAACATCACGCAGGTGGGCACCGTCACACAGGTGGGCACTGTGACACAGGTGGGCACTGTGACACAGGTGGGCACTGTGACACAGGTGGGCACTGTGACACAGGTGGGCACTGCGTCACAGGTGGGCACTGTGACACAGGTGGGCACTGTGACACAGGTGGGCACTGTGACACAGGTGGGCACCGTGACACAGGTGGGCACTGTGACACAGGTGGGCACTGTGACACAGGTGGGCACCTCTACACAGGTGGGCACCTCTACACAGGTGGGCACTGTGACGCAGGTGGGCACTGTGACGCAGGTGGGCACTGTGACACAGGTGGGCATTGTGACACAGGTGGGCACTGTGACACAGGTGGGCACCTCTACACAGGTGGGCACTGTGACACAGGTGGGCACCTCCACACAGGTGGGCACTGTGATGCAGGTGGGCACTGTGACACAGGTGGGCACTGTGACACAGGTGGGCACTGTGACGCAGGTGGGCACTGTGACACAGGTGGGCATTGTGACACAGGTGGGCACTGTGACACAGGTGGGCACCTCTACACAGGTGGGCACTGTGACACAGGTGGGCACCTCCACACAGGTGGGCACTGTGATGCAGGTGGGCACTGTGACACAGGTGGGCACCTCCACACAGGTGGGCACTGTGACGCAGGTGGGCACTGTGACGCAGGTGGGCACTGTGACACAGGTGGGCACTGTGACACAGGTGGGCACCTCCACACAGGTGGGCACTGTGACGCAGGTGGGCACTGTGACGCAGGTGGGCACTGTGACACAGGTGGGCACTGTGACGCAGGTGGGCACTGTCACACAGGTGGGCACTGTGACACAGGTGGGCACTGTGACACAGGTGGGCACCTCCACACAGGTGGGCACCATCACACTGGTGATGATGATGGTGATGATGACGATGGTGATGGTGACGATGGTGATGATGATGACGATGATGATGACGATGATGGTGATGATGATGGTGATGATGACGATGGTGATGGTGACGATGGTGATGGTGATGATGATGGTGATGATGAAGATGATGATGGTGATGATGATGATGGTGACGATGGTGATGATGATGATGACGATGATGATGGTGATGATGACGATGATGATGGTGATGATGATGGTGATGATGACGATGATGGTGATGATGATGGTGATGATGACGATGGTGATGGTGACGATGGTGATGATGATGATGATGACGATGATGATGGTGATGATGACGATGGTGATGGTAATGATGATAATGATGATGATGACGATGGTGATGATGATAATGATGGTGGTGATGGTGATGATGATGGTGGTGGTGGTGATGATGATGATGGTGATGATGATGGTGATGATGATGGTGATGATGATGACGATGATGATGACGATGGTGATGGTGATGATGATGATGGTGGTGATGACGATGGTGATGGTGATGATGATGGTGATGATGATGGTGATGATGACGATGGTGACGATGGTGATGGTGATGGTGATGATGATGATGGTGATGATGATGGTGATGGTGACGATGGTGATGATGGTGATGATGATGGTGATGATGACGATGATGATGGTGATGATGATGGTGATGATGATGACGATGATGACGATGGTGATGATGACGATGATGATGGTGCTGATGACAATGGTGATAGTGATGATGATGGTGATGATGACGATGATGGTGATGATGACGATGGTGATGGTGATGATGATAATGATGACGATGATGATGACGATGGTGATGATGATAATGATGGTGGTGATGGTGATGATGATGGTGGTGGTGGTGGTGGTGATGATGATGGTGATGATGACGATGGTGGTAGTGATGATGGTGTTGGTGATGATGATGGCGATGATGATGGTGATGATGACGATGATGATGGTGGTGATGATGATGGTGATGATGGTGGTGATGATGAAGGTGATGATGATGGTGGTGATGATGATGGTGGTGGTGGTGATGATGGTGGTGATGATGATGGTGATGATGGTGGCGATCATGATGGTGATGATAATGGTGATGATGATGGTGATGATGATGATGGTGATGATGACGATGGTGATGGTGATGATGATGATGACGATGATGACGATGGTGATGATGACGGTGGTGATGATGATGGTGGTGGTGGTGATGATGATGATGACGATGGTGATGGTAACGATGGTGATGGTGATGATGATGGTGATGATGTGTGTAGGGAGGCATCTACTTCTTCCAGCTGATGGACCACTACACAGCCATCATCTCCCTCACCTTCCTCGCCTGCTTTGAGGTGGTGGCAGTCTGCTTGGTGTACGGTGAGTGTGTGGTGAGTGTGTGGTGAGTGTGTACGGGTGAGTGTGGTGAGTGTGTGGTGAGTGTGTGGTGAGTGTGTGGTGAGTGTGGTGAGTGTGTGGTGAGTGTGGTGAGTGTGTACGGGTGAGTGTGGTGAGTGTGTGGTGAGTGTGTGGTGAGTGTGTGGTGAGTGTGTGGTGAGTGTACGGTGAGTGTGTGGTGAGTGTGTGGTGAGTGTGTACGGGTGAGTGTGTGGGGTGTGTGGGTGAGTGTGTGGTGAGTGTGTGGTGAGTGTGTGGTGAGTGTGTACGGGTGAGTGTACGGTGAGTGTGTGGTGAGTGTGTGGTGAGTGTGTGGTGAGTGTGACCGGGTGAGTGTGGTGAGTGTGTGGTGAGTGTGTGGTGAGTGTGTGGTGAGTGTGTGTGGGTGAGTGTGTGGTGAGTGTATGGTGAGTGTGTGGTGAGTGTGGTGAGTCTGTGGTGAGTGTGTGGTGAGTGTGTACGGGTGAGTGTGGTGAGTGTGGTGAGTGTGGTGAGTGTGTGGTGAGTGTGTGGTGAGTGTGTTGTGAGTGTGTGGTGAGTGTGTGGTGAGTGTGTCGGTGTGTGGTGAGTGTGTGGTGAGTGTGTGTGGTGAGTGTGTGGTGAGTGTGTACGGGTGAGTGTGTACGGGTGAGTGTGTGGTGAGTGTGTGGTGAGTGTATGGTGAGTGTTTACGGTGAGTGTGTGGTGAGTGTTAGGTGAGTGTGTACGGGTGAGTGTGGTGAGTGTGTGGTGAGTGTGTGTGGTGAGTGTATACGGGTGAGTGTGGTGAGTGTGTGGTGAGTGTGTGGTGAATGTGTGTGGTGAGTGTGTGGGTGAGTGTGTGGTGAGTGTGTGGGTGAGTGTGTGGTGAGTGTGTGGGTGAGTGTGTGGGTGAGTGTGCAGGTGAGTGTGTGTGGTGAGTGTGGTGAGTGTGTGGGTGAGTGTGCGGGTGAGTATGTGTGGTGAGTGTGTGGTGAGTGTGCGGGTGAGTGTGTGGTGAGTGTGTGGGTAAGGTGTGTGGGTAAGATCTGGGCAAGGTCCCATCGGTGAGCTCCTCCAGCAGGCAAGGCTGTGATGGCTGGGTCATGTAGCCCGCATGCCCAGCCACCGCCTAACGAAACAGCTTTTGTTCGGCCGGATCGAGGGGGCCAAACGGGCGCGGCACGGGCTAGAGAAGAGATGGAGTGATGTGGTACAGGAGGACGTGGAGCTGAGTGGACTTGCCGATGACTGGTACCAGCGGTGTCAAGATCGGCCTCTGTGTGAGGAGGCTCGTGAAGGACGCTACTGGGCAGTTGGAGGCAGTCGCCCTCCAACAACAACGGAGGGCGGAGGAGCGACGCTCACAACAACGAGCGGAGCGCCGGGTGGCTAAAGCACAGCAGGTTGGCACAGTAGGGGGCACAGGTGGTGCACCAGCCAGTCATCTCAGTCAGCGACCCGTGGCACCTGGGTCTGCCCCGTGACCTCCTGCCAGCGGGCGTTCGACACTTCACGTGGCCTCAGGGTGCACATAGCCTGGCACAGGCGTCGTGGTGACGTCACCGCCACTTAGTGGTGAATGGCGGTTGTTGTTGTTGTGGTGAGTGTGTGGGTGAGTGTGTGGTGAGTGTGTGGTGAGTGTGTGTATTGGTGCTGGCTGCTCACAGCCAGCACCAATACCTTGTGCTGTGTCTAGTAAAACATCGCCACTGGGGATAGAAAGGCGGCCGGGCGTGGTGCTGGCCACCCACCCCCTCGTGTGCCGTGCCGGTAGCCTTCATAGGTGGTGCTACTCGCTACTAGCAGCACTTGCCCCTACAGCCCTGCTAGAGGCTACCTGGGGGAGCTTTGTCTGTGTGTATCATAGGTGGTGCTACTCGCTACTAGCAGCACTTGCCCCTACAGCCCTGCTAGAGGCTACCTGGGGGAGCTTTGTCTGTGTGTACATCATAGGTGGAGCTACTCGCTATAAGCAGCACTTGCCCCTACAGCCTTCTAGAGGCTACCTGGGGCAGCTTTGTCTGTGTGTGCATCATAGGTGGTGATGCTACTCGCTTCTCTGTGTGCAGGGAGTTCCAGGCTCAGCAGCAACATTGAGGAAATGCTGGGCAGGAAGCCGAACATCTTCTTCAGGCTCTGCTGGATGGTCGCCTCTCCCTGCCTCGTTACCGTGAGACCCCCATTATCCGCTATCCCTGCTATCCGCTATCCCCAGACTCGTGTAGACGCACACAGACACACATAGACTCCCCTTATCAATAATTCCCATGTTCCGCTATCCCTATTATGCGCAATCCCCAGACTCGTGTAGACACACACAGGTAGACACAGACTGACACACACAGACACACACAGGTAGACACAGAAACACACAAGGACAAAGACAGACACACACAGACTCGTGTAGACACACAGGGAGACACAGACTGACACACAAGGACACACACAGACACACACAGGTAGACACAGACACACACAAGGACACACACAGACACACACAGGTAGACACAGACACATACAAGGACACACACAGACACACACAGACTCGTGTAGACACACAGGGAGACACAGACTGACACACAAGGACACACACAGACACACACAGGTAGACACAGACACACACAAGGACACACACAGACACACACAGACTCGTGTAGACACACAGGTAGACACACACTGACACACAATGACACACACAGACACACACAGGTAGACACAGACTGACACACAGACACACACAGACACACACAAGGACACACACAGACACACACAGACACACACAAGGACACACACAGACACACACAGGTAGACACAGACTGACACACAAGGACACACAAGGACACACACAGACACACACAGACACACACAGACACACACAAGGACACACACAGACACACACAGACACACACAAGGACACACACAGACACACACAGGTAGACACAGACTGACACACAAGGACAGACACACACAGACACACACAGACACACACAAGGACACACACAGACACACACAAGGACACACACAGACACACACAAGGACACACACAGACACACACAGGTAGACACAGACTGACACACAAGGGCACACACAGACACACAAGGACACACACAGACACGCACAGGTAGACACAGACTGACACACAAGGACACACACAGACACACACAGACACACACAAGGACACACACATACTGACACACAGACTGACACACAGACTGACACACAAGGACACACAAGGACACACACAGACACACACAGACTGACACACAAGGACACACACATACTGACACACAGGTAGACACACAGACTGACACACAAGGACACACACAGACACACACAGACACACACAAGGACACACACAGACACACACAGACACACACAAGGACACACACAGACACACACAGACACACACAAGGACACACACAGACACACACAAGGACACACACAGACACACACAGACACACACAGACACACACAGGTAGACACACAGGTAGACACAGACTGACACACAAGGACACACAAGGACACACACAGACACACACAAGGACACACACAGACACACACAAGGACACACACAGACACACACAAGGACACACACAGACACACACAGACACACACAGACTGACACACAAGGACACACACAGACACACACAAGGACACACACACACAGACACACACAGACACACACAGACACACACACAGACACACACAGACTGACACACAAGGACACACACAGACACACACAGACACACACAGACTGACACACAAGGACACACACAGACACACACAAGGACACACACACACAGACACACACAGACACACACAGACACACACACAGACACACACAGACAGACACACACAGACACACACAGACACACACACAGACACACACACAGACACACACAGACACACACAGACACACACACAGACACACACACAGACACACACAGACAGACACACACAGACACACACAGACACACACACAGACACACACAGACTGACACACAAGGACACACGTAGAGTGCTCTGGGCGTGCGTCCGTCTGCGCAGGCCATCCTGGTATTCAGCGTGCTGCAGTACGAGCCGGTGCGCTACGGGGACTACGTCTACCCAGCCTGGGCCGAGGGCCTCGGCTGGGTCGTGTCGCTCCTCTCCATCGGCTGGATCCCTCTGGGCATGGCTCACACCCTGTACCACGCGCAGGGCACCCTGATACAGGTGAGTCTGCACACACCTGTACCACTCACACACACACACCTACACCTGTACCACTCACACACACACCCTGTACCACTCACACACACACACCTGTACCACTCACACACACACACACCTGTACCACTCACATACACACACACCTGTACCACTCACACACACACCTGTACCACTCACACACACACACCTGTACCACTCACACACAAACACCTGTACCACTCACACACACACACCTGTACCACTCACACACACACACCTACACCTGTACCACTCACACACACACCCTGTACCACTCACTCACACACACACACCTGTACCACTCACACACACACACACCTGTACCACTCACACACAAACACCTGTACCACTCACACACACACACCTGTACCACTCACACACCTGTATCACTCACACATACACACACTTGTACCACACTCACACACACACCTGTACCACACACACACACACACCTGTACCACACACACACACACACCTGTACCACACACACACACACACCTGTACCACACACACACACACACCTGTACCACACACACACACATACCTGTACCACTCACACACACACACCTGTACCACTCACACACACACACACCTGTACCACTCACTCACACACACACACACCTGTACCACTCACACACACACACCTGTACCACTCACACACACACCTGTACCACTCACACACACACACCTGTACCACTCACTCTCACACACACCTGTACCACTCACACACACATACCTGTACCACTCACACACACACCTGTACCACTCACACACCTGTATCACTCGCACATACACACACTTGTACCACACTCACACACACCTGTACCACACACATACACCTGTACCACACACACACACACACCTGTACCACACACACACACACATACCTGTACCACTCACACACACACACCTGTACCACTCACACACCTGTATCACTCACACATACACACACTTGTACCACACTCACACACACACCTGTACCACACACACACACCTGTACCACACACATACACCTGTACCACACACACACACCTGTACCACACACACACACCTGTACCACTCACTCTCACACACACACACCTGTACCACTCACACACACACACCTGTACCACTCACACACACATACCTGTACCACTCACACACACACACCTGTACCACTCACACACCTGTATCACTCACACATACACACACTTGTACCACACTCACACACACACACACCTGTACCACACACACATACACCTGTACCACACACACACACACCTGTACCACACACACACACACCTGTACCACTCACACACACACCTGTACCACACTCACACACACACACCTGTGCCACACACATACACCTGTACCACTCACACACACACGCACACCTGTACCACACACACACACACCTGTACCACACACACACACACCTGTACCACACACACACACACACACCTGTACCACTCACACACACACACCTGTACCACTCACACACCTGTATCACTCACACATACACACACTTGTACCACACTCACACACACACCTGTACCACACACATACACCTGTACCACACACACACACCTGTACCACACACACACCTGTACCACACACACACACACACACCTGTACCACACACTCACACACACACACCTGTACCACTCACACACACACCTGTACCAATCACACTCACACACACACCTGTACCACACTCACACACACACACCCCTGTACCACACACATACACCTGTACCACTCACACACACCTGTACCACACCCACACACCTGTACCACACTCACACACACACACCCCTGTACCACACACATACACCTGTACCACTCACACACACCTGTACCACACCCACACACCTGTACCACACTCACACACACACACCTGTACCACACTCACACTGTAACCACCACCACCACCACTAACTCCGTGCCTCTCATCCCCCCCCGCCCCCAGCGCCTCAAGTGGTCCGTGACCCCCCGTGCGGTTCGCCGCTCCGACTGGGAGGCGCCGCAATCCAAGAGGCGCCCCTCCCCAACTCCCCCTCTGGTCACGGCGCAGACGGCGTTCTAGCGAGGCTCACCGCAGGGGCCAGGCTCACCTGGTGAGGCTCACCTGGTGAGGCTCACCTGGTGAGGCTCACCGCAGGGGCCAGGCTCACCTGGTGAGGCTCACCTGGTGAGGCTCACCTGGTGAGGTTCACCGCAGGTGCCAGGCTCACCTGGTGAGGCTCACCTGGTGAGGCTCACCGCAGGGGCCAGGCTCACCTGATGAGGCTCACCTGGTGAGGCTCACCTGGTGAGGCTCACCGCAGGGGCCAGGCTCACCTGGTGAGGCTCACCTCACCGCAGGGGCCAGGCTTACCTGGTGAGGCTCACCTGGTGAGGCTGGATGAGGCTCACTAGGTGAGGCTCACCGCAGGGGTGAGGCTCACCTGGTGAGGCTCACCTCACTGCAGGGGCCAGGCTCACCCGGTGAGGCTGGATGAGGCTCACCGTAGGGGTGAGGCTCACCGTAGGGGTGAGGCTCACCGTAGGGGTGAGGCTCACCGTAGGGGTGAGGCTCACCGCAGGGAGGAGCCCTACCAAACTCGCTGTCCACCGCAGGGCGAATGTACGGACAAGAGACAAGGACTGCCGCTTACCGTCCCAACGACTCTGAATGAACAACCCGCGCTGTCTGGAAAGTTGAAACGCTCAAAATGAAAACCGCTGCATACGAATCATCTGAATCACCGTGGCACGGCGACTGCTCCTACTCCTGTAGGATAGCCTCATGGTGGGATGTATTGTTACTCGACTTTAATATGACTTGTTGTAGGTTTCACCTTACCTGTCAACGTCTTCTCAGTGCCCTACCGGCCCCTTACACATCTCCACGTTCACGCTACAGAGTCAGAAGGGAGAGACACAAACTAAGAGACAACAGTGTTGGACCTGGCAACTCAATCTCCCTGTACGAGACTCTTGGCTTATAAAGCGTACGGGTTGACAGGGATGTTGTTATCAACACTCACTTATCCATACGTAATTGCCATGAGGTCTGGGTTTAGCAGATGCAACTTGATAATGAATTATGGAAGTTGATAAATAAAGTATTGAACCTAAGGATAATTGAGAACTAAATATAGTTACATCGTCATATATAACTATATATATAAAACTATATAACACGTAGGCTTTCGTGACCAATATCATCCATAATACAGGTGTTTTTTTTGGGTTAGAACACGTAAATATATAAATGTTGTGTCGTTAAACCCGCCACCAACCGACACAGCCAACTCGTAAGGGTTGTTACATGAACAGAACGTGGCCAATTCGTCCCTCGTGTAGTGGGTAAGATGTAAACCAAGTCCTGTCTGGAGGCAAAAGGTTTATTTATAACAGGAGTACCACGAGGTCCCTGGCACAAAGGGGTATCGGCCCCTTCCACCCAATACCCTCTGGGCAAGGTGACCCGTCTCACAGGGACCACTCCCTCTCTGTATCTCAGCCCTCCGGCTAGGGTACCTAGGGGGACCTAGGGGGACCTAGGGGTACCTAGGGGAACCTAGGGGGACCTAGGGGGGCCTAGGGGGGCCTAGGGGGACCTAGGGGGGGCGAGCCTGACCCGACCCAGCCAAGCTCCTCGGGCCCCGACCACTGGCTCACTCGGTCCCGGCCCTGACAAGGACTTCGGGTCCTCGGGTTCCCAGGGTTCTATTCTGGCTGGTCCTCGGGTTCCCAGGGTTCTATTCTGGCTGGCCCTCGGGTTCCCAGGGTTCTATTGTGGCTGGTCCTCGGGTTCCCAGGGTTCTATTGTGGCTGGTCCTCGGGTCTTCTGCTTGACGACTGCCGGGTCCCCTTTGAGACCGCTGTCTGCCTCACTCTGCCCCGAGCCACTCCTCCCTTGTGGAACCGTCTGGAAGGGCCTGGGGGGTGACGTCACCCCCCAGGAAGGGGGCTGGGGGTGACGTCACCCCCCAGGCCCTTTCCTGGGGGGTGATGTCACCCCCCAGCCCCCTTCCTGGGGGGTGACGTCACCCCCAACCCCCTTCCTGGGGGGTGATGTCACCCCCCAGCCCCCTTCCTGACGTCACCCCCAGCCCCTTCCTGGGGGGTGATGTCACCCCCGAGCCCCCTTCCTGGGGGGTGACGTCACCCCCCAGCCCCCTTCCTGGGGGTCTGGGGTCTGTTCCTGTGGTCTCGAGCTGCCTTGGGGTGGCCATGAAACTCCCCTCTGGCCTGTTGACTCGAGGCCGTTACTACTGTAGTGTTGTAAGGACGAGCAGACTTCTTAGGAGGCACACTCTGTTTATTGTATTATTTCCTTACACAATGCTTAACACACACAGAGGGATATACGGTCCCCTCACCCGATACCCGAGGGAGGTACAGCCTCCGGACTTGGCGGGACTCACACGTCTACCGCTATCCTAGTCCTCCGGCTAGGACCTAGGGGAGGCTATCTGACCCACCGCTGGCCCGGTGGGTCCTGACCACTGGGTATGCCGAGCCTTAGCCCTCAGAAGGGCTGGGAGGCTGGCCCAGGGTCCTGGCTAGGCTCCAGCCCAGTCTTCTATCTTCGTGCAGGGAGAGAACTCCCCGAGGTCCGTTGGGTCACCGTCTTATACCCCTTCGTGGCCAGGCAGAACCAATCACACATTCCCACGTGGAACCGTCTGATTGGTTCGTACCAACCCCTGGCTACGATCCGTTTCACCTCGACTGACCCCAACCGTTGTACCCAGGGGTAATGCTGCACTGCCCTGGTGGCAATGCAGGTTACGCAACAGGGCGTAGTTAACACCTCTACACTACGGTTACAAGCAGCCATAGTGTAGTGTATAGTGTAGTGTATAGTAGTGTAGTGTATAGTGTAGTGTAGTGTGCAGTGTATAGTAGTGTATAGTAGTGTAGCGTATAGTAGTGTAGCGTATAGTGTAGTGTATAGTGTAGTGTATAGTCTAGTGTATAGTAGTATGATGTATAGTAGTGTAGTGTATAGTAGTGTAGTGTATAGTGTAGTGTATAGTGTAGTGTATAGTGTAGTGTGTAGTAGTGTAGTGTATAGTGTAGTGTATAGTAGTGTAGTGTATAGTAGTGTATAGTGTAGTGTATAGTGTAGTGTATAGTGTAGTGTATAGTAGTGTAGTGTATAGTGTATAGTAGTGTAGTGTATAATAGTGTAGTGTATGGTAGTGTAGTGTATAGTAGTGTATAGTGTATAATAGTGTATAGTGTATAGTAGTGTAGTGTATAGTAGTGTAGTGTGCAGTGTATAGTAGTGTATAGTGTAGTGTATAATAGTGTAGTGTATAGTAGTGTAGTGTGCAGTGTATAGTAGTGTATAGTTTAGTGTATGGTAGTGTAGTGTATAGTAGTGTATAGTGTATAATAGTGTAGTGTATAGTAGTGTAGTGTGCAGTGTATAGTAGTGTATAGTGTAGTGTATAATAGTGTAGTGTATAGTAGTGTAGTGTATAGTAGTGTATAGTGTATAATAGTGTAGTGTATAGTAGTGTAGTGTGCAGTGTATAGTAGTGTATAGTGTAGTGTATAATAGTGTAGTGTATAGTAGTGTAGTGTGCAGTGTATAGTGTAGTGTATAATAGTGTAGTGTATAGTAGTGTAGTGTGCAGTGTATAGTAGTGTATAGTGTAGTGTATAATAGTGTAGTGTATAGTAGTGTAGTATGCAGTGTATAGTAGTGTATAGTGTAGTGTATAATAGTGTAGTGTATAATAGTGTAGTGTATTGTAGTGTAGTGTGCAGTGTAGTATCTTAGTACAGCACACCGGTGTGTTGGAGAGCAAAGCCACAACATGTACATACCAACGTCGTACACACAGACGCACGTGTAGCCTTAACAGACTGTAGGGGCAAGTGCTGTTAGTGAGCATCTATGAAGGCCAGAACGGCACACGAGGGGGTGGGTGGCCAGCACCACGCCCAACCGCCTTTGTCTCCCAAGTAGCGATGTTTACACACGTACTCATTTGAGGCTGAGTAGACCTAAGAGAGGCTCGGGACCGGTTCAAATAATCGTCGTCGATGTTGGTAGCCGTGAGCGGGAATCAAACTCGGGTCGCCGGTTTCAAAGTGCCACTCACAAGGGGTGACTTCTTCCAATATTTGAGGCACCGCAGCCTCAGCAGGGTCATCCGCATTTTGTGCCAAGATGTTTTCCTGGCTGAGGGATTTCCCCTCCCCCAGGACCTCACAGAAATGCTCAGCACATCTGCAAACGTGTTCCTGGGGGTCGGAGATTGGATCACCGTTTTTTCCCCTAATGATGGCAATAGGTGTGGCGCTGCAGGTTACTTTTTTGATGGAGTTAAATAGAGATTTGTGATCGCGGGCCACTGAGGCAGACTGCATCTCCTCAGCAACCCGCGACCACCACCCATCCTCACAGCGCCTCACGGCTTTCCGAACCTCCGAGCGAAGGCTGCGGTAAACCTCCTCATTCTCTGACGTGGGATTCTGTAGCCGATGACAGTGGGCCTGTCGCTTTTTCTCAACTATCCTGAACACCTCCTCTGTCAGCCAGGGTCTCTGGGAAGGTCTGGACCGCATACCCAAAGCAGCCATTGCAGCTGCATGAGTCATAGTCCTAAACCTCGCCTATTTACCCTCGACATCAGGAGTGGGGGACGATGCCAACCCCAGCCGCAAGCGATGATGAAATTCTCACTTGCAACTTTCATCAGATAACTGAGACCAGGCCACTTTAGGTTGGAATGGGGTCCTGGGTGTACACCCACCACCAGAGTGGAAGAATGGCAGGCGCATCTTACAGATGACTAGTCGATGGTCAGAGGGCAGATCAGCTCCACGGTAGGTCTTGGTGTCAAGGACATGGGCTCGCATCCGCTGGTCCATCACTATGTAGTCCAGCAGATGTTCTTGCTTGGACCTGGCATGCTTCCATGATGTTGTGTGGATGCGCCGATGCCGGAACAGCATGTTGGTAATTTCAAGCCCATGGGCTGCACACAAATCTAGCAGCCTCCTACCGTTGTTATTGAGCTGATCTGGCCCATGCCTTCCAATCACTCCAGACCAGGTGCCAGCATCATGACCAACTTGGGCATTGAAGTCACCCAACAAGATGACTCTATCCTGAG